CCACTTTAGCTAATGGGGCCTCCTGCTGCGCCGCCGGAGCACGATTTCTGTTCTCATCCTGAAGCAAAGTTCTTAACCCGAGGTACTATTTCTGGGTTAGCTGAGTCTGTAACCTGAAGTGTATGTAACCAGAGGTACCACTGTATTTTTACCCTAGTAGATAAACTTTTGTACACATTACTTCACTGGGGAACTGCATTGTAAAATTCAGAGAAGGGAGAATTTCCAACAATGGCTGTGCTTTTGTTTGTATACTGTTTTGAAAATGTCAACTTTATATGCAAACTGAACTGAATATCTTCCCCATACCTATCCTCAGATACAAGCTTGGTCCTATGCTCAAATCTGTTTACTAAACCTCAAGGGGGGAAATGCACTGCTGAAGTCATGTTGCATAACACAACTGGAAGAAAAGTTATGCTTCCCTAGGTGGGACCCAACCTCTGAGACTGAGCTAGTGTTTGTTTGAATACAGTGGTGCCCCGCAAGACGAATGCCTCGCAGGACGGAAAACCCGCTAGACGAAAGGGTTTTCCGTTTTTCGATGCGCTTCGCAGGACGAATTTCCCTATGGGCTTGCTTCGCAAGACGAAAATGTCTTGCGAGTCCTGAGATTTTTTTCCCCTCCCCCCCCTTTTTCTAAGCCGCTAAGCCTTTAATAGCCTTTTAGCAGCTAATCCGCTAAGCCGCTAAGCCTTTAATAGCCGCTAAACCGCTAATAGCGCTAATCCGCTAATAGGGTTGCTTCGCAAGACGAAAAAACCGCTAGACGAAGAGACTCGCGGAACGGATTAATTTCGTCTTGCGAGGCACCATTGTATTTAAAAAATGTAACAGCAATGTCTGTGAGATGGGATTATGGTCTGGGAGACTTTTTTCTTAAGAAGAATGAATCAAAGCATCGTTACTCCACATATAGTGCAAGGCAGATATTACTTAGGAAGACACTGATAGCTAGCTACATACAATTTACTGTCCCAACCAGGGATGCTTGGATCAAAAGTTGTGTGTAGCCAGTTCAGTGGTGCTCAGATGTGGAGGCATCTAAATCCACATGTAGCAGATGCATTTGGGCACATGGATGTCCTCTGCTAGACCAGGGCAACTAACTATGCCTGGCATGCAGTGCCAGGACCTGAACAAGGGCTGGGTAGAGCACTCAAATTAATAAAAGCTAGAAGTTGGCTGGCAGGCAGTGAGGAATAATCATCTGACTTCCCTACAGCTGATGAGCAAGAGTGATTTAGACAGGAGGAAAAGGAGGCGGCGGCAGATGATCAGAAGGAAACCAGACCTCCCACCCAGAAGGGTTTTCTACTGATTTCTGTGCTGGTTTGTTTTCATATGTGTTGTTTTAGTTTGGGACTGTAGCTATATTTTATTGTTTCTAAATTTATGAACTGCCCAGAGGACATTGCTAATAGCCCATCATATCTAAATGCTAAAAATAAATAAGCCAAGCTCACTTCTGGTACTGGATACTAGCAGGAGAGAAAATCTTATGGGGGGAAAAGACTGGAAGGGAAGGATCACGGGCAGGGAAGGATTTAATACCCCAACTGCACAGTCTTTTTGCTTCAAAAATCAGACCTCCTGATCCTAATTTATGCATGACTGGGAAACAACCATGTTTAAATATACAAAGAGTAAGTCAGACCACTAATATTTGTCCATTTTTGAGTGTCACATTTTAAAATGGATGGAGACAGCTTGGAGAAAATATACACAGAAGCATAAGAAAATACAGTCAGGATGTAAGCTGGGAAATGTGTGTTTATTATTGAGAGCAGAAGATTAAAACTGCAAACATTTATAGCTATTTAAAGATGTTAGTATTTAATGTAGAATGAGAGGCAAAGGTCACAATCCAGCACAGATTTGAATCAGTTACCTTACATAGCACCTACCTATGCATTTTTACTTGAATGTCAATCTCTCTGTGTTCAGTGGCACTTACACACTTGGAAGTTCGTCTAGGGCTGCGGTCAGAGACTGCAGTTCTATGCATGAGACACGATGGCAGGGGTGGGGAGTTTGTAGCCCTCCAAACGTTGCTGTACTCCAACTCCCATGATCCCTGGAATGGGGCAGGCGGGCATTGAAGTCTAACAACATCTGGAGGACCATGGGTTTTTAGCAGTTTTTGTTTTAACTTTGTTCATCACCCTGAAATTTTATGATATGGCGGTATAGAAATACTTCTATAAATAGGTACCAACAAACAACTAAATAACTGAATATGAGCTGACTTAGACCCTGCAATTTTCACCTGAGGTCATTCTTTGTGTGCCTCCTCCATGAGAGGTCTGGAGGGTGGTAACCTGAGAATGGGCCTTTTCTGCTGTGGCTCCAGGCTAGTGGAATGCTCTCTTCAAAGAGGCCGCTTGGTGCCTTTGCTACATATCTTTAGGCACCAGACAAAATCATTCCTCTTCTCCCAGGCCTTTGTTTAATTAGCCAATCTATCTCAAGAGGCAGCTGAACCTATAGAGAACAGCAGGCAGGAAGACAAACCACTTTCCAGACTACAGCTAGTCTAAAACATTAGGGTGGAATAGCTTGAATTATCAAAGAAGCCCCATTTCTGAGAAGAGCTAAAATACAGCTACTTTGCATAACCAGGAATTTTGGAGACTATTGATAGAGCTGGTTCTCCTATCCTGCTCTTATTCTCAAACTTGGTTGCTTTTGGTTTCGAGTTATTTTCTATTCACTGTCTTTTCCAGGCAGAGCTAGAGGAGACTGCTGTCTGAAATCCTGGAGACACACTTGCCATTTAATATGGACAGTACTGAGCCAGATGGGCCAATGCTCTGATTCAGTACATGGCAGATTCCTATGTAAAAACAGCAATAACCATTAAAAGTAATAACTACAACACCCATCAGCTCTGCTAGAGGTAGTCACCATATTGTATTGCAAGGAATTCCCTACATTAATTGGGCACTCAGGATATGCCATATCCAGACAAGATACAGGTCCTGGTCATAGGGAGTTTCAGATGTTTAGGGATATTTAGGGTGGGTCTTCTTTTATCCACGGATATATTTTGTAGATTTGGACTTGCCTAAAGAGAAAAGATCAGGCTTTGGTCAATCCTGCATTATATCCTCCTGTATACCTGAAGGAGTGTCTCCACCCCCAGCTGAGGTTACAGGGAACTAGGCAGAGGGCGTTCAAGGTAGTGGAGCCCGCCCTGTGGAATGCCCTCCCATCAGATGTCAAGGAAATAAACAACTATCAGACTTTTAGAAGGCCTCTGAAGGCAACCCTGTATTGGAAAATTTTTGATGTCTAATGTTTTACAATTTTTTATGTGCTGTAAGCCACCCAGAGTGGGTGGGGAAACCCAGCCAGATGGGTGGGATACAAATATATCATCATCCATCATCATCATCATCCAAATTAGCTGGAAAGTGCTCTTCCTATGTCTGCCTTTGGAGACAGTCTATAAATTTATTTTGCTTCAGATTGTGTCCACCAGAGTTCTAACTTAAGCCTGCAGATCGGATCATATGGTGTGATTTACACTACTCTCCTATTATGTCGTCTTCACAAACTACCCTTTTATCCCTGGGCTGAATTCAAAGGCCCATTTTTCAACCTTTAAAGTCATGAATGGCCTGGGAGTGGGATGCCATACAAAATCATTTGAGATCTGAGATTAATGTCTAGGCCCTGCTGTCTATCTGCACCACCACTGTTTTGTTTGGTGGGTTATGTACGAAACACAGGGCCTTTTCTGGAGAGACACTAATCTTATGGAAGTTCCTTCCCAGGGGAAATCCGCCTTGCTCCATTGTTGGTTGTTTTTCACGAGGCAGTTAAGAGTCAACATTTCCAACAGCTATTTTGCTGTTGACGTGTTCATGATTTGATCTGCTGCTTGTGATACAGTTTTCTTTACGCATTGTTTCTTTTTGTTGTTGTTGTTCATATTAATTTGTCCTTTTATGTATGTTTTATATTGTTTTACAGTTGTTTGTAAGCCACTTCGATGATCCCACAGAGAAAAGGAGGGTAAAAATTCCCAATAAATAAATAAATAAATAAATAAATGAGTACCATTGCTGGCTCTATTTCCTCAAATCATGTCAACATTTCTAGTTTGAAGTGTGCCACTGCTCCATGTTGACACAATCTACACACTACAGGAAAAAGCAAAGTGGGGAGGGACAGCTTCCATTATCTCTGCACTTAATGGGCCTTCCTTCCTAGTACACATTTGCTGTTATAAACGTCAGCACTTCTGAGTGAGTCACTAGAGGATATTTGATATAAAGCTAAAACAGGAAACTGTGTATTCTTCTGATTAAATTGAGGATGGTCAGAGAGGTTTGCGATTTCAGCTGCATCCAACAGGAAAGCTTGTAGGCCACAACAGATAATGCTTTCAGTAGGGTAGTGGCAAAGGAGGAGAGGATAAGGAGAAAAGGTGAAAGGTCATTGGAACAATGAACTATGTTTTTTTGAAAACAACTACCGGTAATCTGAAAGAACTCAAGTCATTACATTCACCACAAATACAATGATGGCACTTTGCAAGGCACATTTCAAAATCATTATGTCATTATTTATGTGAGAACGTTCAGAACATTACTGAAAAGCAAATAAATAAATAAATAAATAAATAAATAAATAAATAAATAAATAAATAAATAAAATTTAGATGGAAGAAAGTTTATAGAGAACTAGGCTGCATACAGACCCTATATTTAAAGCACCCTCCCAAAGAATCCTGGGGAATTCTAGCAAGACCAAGAAAGCAGAACCCTCTGCACACTTACTTGGGAAAGCCCCATTAGTGGGGCCATGCAGGTAAGAAGTAGAGTCACACAAAGAGGAACAAGCATGTGTGTATGGCATCAGATGCAGGCAGCATGTTTATCTCCCTACCCAGAACCACAGGAAGCTGCCTTATATTGAGTCAGACCATTGGGTCCATCTAGCTCAGGAATGTCTACACTGACTGGCAGCAGCTCTCCAGATGTTCAGGCAGGAGTCTCTCCCAACCCTACCTCAAGATGCTGGGGCCTTCTGCTTGCAAGACAGATGCTCTACCACTGAGCTAAGGCCTCTATAACAACCACAAAGGCATCCTGTGCAAGTGTTTTCTGCTTTTAACTCTTACAGAGTAATGCTTTGCTGCTGGGGACCATTCAGTATGGGTTAAATCTCTCTCCAGAAACACTGCCTGAGTGCAGAGTACGTAGAGGTGCACTGCACCCTTCTAAGGCACATACATCTTGACTGTCATAAAGATAGGCACTTTAATAGTCTAAGCACTTTTCTTGGCAGTTTCTGTTTTTGTCATGCTAGCTGCCATACCCAAGGAGTTGAGTGTGCCCAGGAAGATTTTGGACCCCACCCCCACATCAGTAGACTCTACCCACTCGGGCCATATCAAAAACTGATATTAAAAATCTCCCTATTTTCAGTCATGATTTGGCATGGGGCACAGGAAGGCGCTGCTTTAGGAATATAAACCAATGCTCCACTGGCGTGCAGAACTGGTTGCACTGTTCTCTGAATGCTGTCCAAAGTGAATAGCTGAAACATTTGTCAAGAATGTAAGCTGCAAACAAGATGTCTCCAGTTTGTAGCAAATGCCATGGAAATGCTGGGTGGTCTTCATTTCTCTTCCCCATCTTTCCTGCGGATAACATGGCGATAGCACAGTAGCCTAATTTACAGGATTGTTGGGAGGGTTGCTCACGGTGAAAAACTTTGAACGCTTAAGGGAAATGCTACACAAATATAGAAATAAATTACACATGCTTGTTAACATAAACTGTAACTCCATCCAAGCTGTTTTTCTCAGAATAGACTTTAATAGCTGTTGCCAACTCCCTGTTTCCTCCAGGCGCCACTGCTTCAATGACAGGGCAAAAAAGGAAAGAAGGTCGTGAAGGCTTTCCTCATAAAAGGGTCATTACTAACAGCATCTTGACCTTTGTGTACAAAGGTTTCTCAAGAGTGAATGAATAAAATCCTTCTGTCTTATATTGTGACTAATTAGGCAACGCTAGCAAACTTAATCTTAGCATCTTCTTGGTTAGTGGGTTAGTAATTTTCTCTTCCAAGTGAGTAAAGGAGAAACATTTAACCAAAACTTGACTTTTTTCCTTTCACTTCAGGTTAGGGCTAGTAAAACATTTGTAGGGATAACTTATTCTTTAACATTTCTTGTATGGCTGAACTAGTCTGCTTATTTTGCAGGGTGGTGGCAGCAGCAGAGGAACCTACTATTTCATTGAGTTTGGCTTTTCTATTATTACTTTGGAATTTAACTACAATTATGGAAGACAGACAAAAAAATAAAATTTAAAAACAGCCTCTTTATTCATATGGCCATACCATAAACAAGTTATTCTTTAGTAGGTTGTATAGCATCTCATATTGCTTTGGAACCTTTCAACCCAATATTCTTAGTTCCATCACATTTTAGGGCAAACGATGCCAACAGTACACAGTTTAATTTGTAACAATTTCCAGAGAGATAATTTAATCTAATCTGTAGCATTGCAATTTTAAGGACATACACCTGTATTAATTAGAAAACACTAAATTTCTCTTGGAAAATTATAATACCTCAGTATAATTTTTAAAAAAATTGTAAGTGTGAAAATGGTACGAGACACTTGGAAGAGAGATTCTTACTATCTCATAGCAGAGTTGGCACAATGACGATTGCTCAAAGCACATTAAAACTTGATTAGACTTACATCTACCCGTAACCACCTTCCCCAAAACAAAACTTAGGCTAGAATAAATCAGAGACACTTAGCTTTGCAAGTAAGTGAAGATTGTACTCACAGAGTTTCAGGAGTTACAGCAAACAATTGTTGATAGTAGAATAAAGAAGGAAAGGTTCCAAACAACTTAAGAAAACAAAAGAACTTGATTTCCTTACAGAATAATCATGCAGTCTGCAAGCTGTAAACATCTCTTATTTTGCTGACATGGTTTTCCTTCAGCAGGGAGCCATCTGCATGACTCCCTCCTTCCGGGAAGGCAGGGAGAGAAGGGAAAGGGAGGAAGAGGCAAAGGCTCCTGGGAGCCTGTTGAACCCTTCTCAATGGGAATTTAAGCTCAGTGCTTGGGTTAACTCTTTCATGCAAGTCAATAACTGTGTTGTTGTTTAGTTGTTTAGTCGTGTCCGACTCTTCGTGACCCCATGGACCAGAGCACGCCAGGCACTCCTGTCTTCCACTGCCTCCCGCAGTTTGGTCAATAACTGTATATTGCAACAATAACAAATCTTGTTGATCTCTCAAAAAACTAATCTTCAGGTAGCAGATGATGATAATGCTGGGGGATGGGACAGATAAGGTTGGCAAGCGAAAACACTTCTGTATACCAAGAAGCAAGTTCCACTGAGTACAATCTATTTTAAAAGTTTATTATTTAATTAGTTTATGAATCACTTCCCATGAATTTAAAAAACAGCAGAAACCCTACATGAAAACTATTATAAAATATAAACGCAGTGAAAAACAAAAACACCAGCACATACATAAAAATCAATCCAAACCTAAAGGCAAGATAGTAACTTGGATTAAGGTTTTAGAAGGCTTTCTCTCAGGACATGGCCAGTCTACAACTCTCACTGCCCCTGACTATGTTCTCTGGGGCTGAGGGGTGTCCAGCAACAGGCTCCTTACACTGCAGTGCAGTATAACAGCATAAACCATTTAAAATCGGGAGACAGCAGCAAATCACCGCCTTCTCTAGAAATTGGGCCTAGTCTTTCCTGCTCATAGTTATGCTGGGGGGGGGGGAGCAATCTGCTTCCAAACTAGGACTAACTAGGCCCCTTTTCTTTTTCTAGTCTTTACTAAAGGGGCTACGGTAGAGTCCTAGAAAGGGAGAGCTGCTGTTGCTCATCGCTCTTTTTTAAATAATGATTTAAAATTATTTAAACCGAGGGAAATGTGTGACCGAACTTATTTATTTGCGCGGGCCCAACGCCGGCCCTTTCAAACCACCCTTTCCTACGGAAGCCGCACGGAGGACAACCTTCCTGCATCAGCGGCCGTAAATGGAACAGCTCCCAGAGAGAGAGAGAATGTGCTAACCGCTACTAGAGCCTTCTGCGAATTCCTCCTCCCGGCCCCCACCTTCGCTCTCAACTCATGAAAGGGGCACTGACGTCACCCGCTCACTCTCCGCGCGGCTCGCTTCACGTCACGCCGCGCCCCGCGCGCCGTCCCTGCCTCCGGGCCAATCACACGCGGAGAAGGTTACCGGCCTATTTCCACCCCTCCCTCTCTCCCTCCCTCCCTCCCCCTTCCCACAGCCTCTCTCTTTCGCCTGAGCGGAGGGGAGGAGATAGTGCGCGAGGCGTTTTTCGGGGAGGGGGGAGAGGGGGCGAGTCTCCAGGCGTCGACCAATATCTTCCGCCGCCGGGGGAGGGACTTCCGCCCGGAGCCGGAAGCGGGGCTCGTGGGTCTCCCTGGCGCTCTCTCTCTCTTTCCCTCGCGCTCCGTCTCTCTCTCTCTGTCTCTCCCTCTCATATGCGAGCGAATTGTCTCCGCTGCTTCTTGGCGCCCAGAAGCCCCGGGGCCCGGACACCCGCCGCCGCCGCCGCTCTCTCTTCCTCCTCCCGCCTCTCCGCGCCCTTCCCTCCCCGCTTGTCGCTCCTCCTCCTCCCCGCCGCCGCCGCCGCCGCCACTCCTCCTCCCCCGCCTGGGCCCCGCTGCCGCCCCCCGCCGCCCTCTCTCTCCGTCTTTCTCTTTCTCTCTCTCTCACCCCTTCCTGGGATTCGGCAGCGGCGGCGGCGGAGGAAGAACGAGAAGGAGGCGGCGGCGGGAGACGAAGACGGAGGCCGAGAGGAGAAGCAGCAGCGGCGGCGGCGGCAGCGAAGGATCCCTCAGGCCGGCCTCCGAGCGCGATCCCTCCCGGCCCGCCGGGGCCTTGCTGGCTGTTGGCTTGACAGGTGAGTGGAGGCCGCGTTCAGTAGCAGTCAAGTGGCAGCAGCAGGGCCGCCGCCGCCGCCGCTTCCTCCCGTCACCGCCCCGAGCCGCCGCCATTTTCTCACCCGAGGCCGCTCGCGGTGGGGGGCGGGGCTGGCCGCTGCAGGGAACTGGCCCCGGTTTCGTGGCCTTGCTCCTGTCGGGAGCTCCGCACTGCGTCGGCTTGGGCCTGCTCGCCGGGAGGGAAGCGCTGGGCCCGGCGGCGGCATCTTCACGTGTTTCGTTTCGTTTCCTTCTCCCTCCTACACCCTCGGATTTGGTGTTGGGGGCGGAGAGAAGGAAGGAGAGATCGCCCTTTTAAGTTGATCCCAAGCTGGCCGAAAACGGAGGACACCCCACCCCCATTGGGGACCCGCCCCAAGCGGCAAGCCAAAGCTCCCCCTCGCTTCGTTTCCCCAAGCTCCCCCCAAACCCCCACCGCCATAGTCCTCCTTGACTCACACCCTTATCTAAAGTTAGGAATTCAAACACACACGCCCTTCTTCCATACTTGTAATGGGTATGATTTAAGTGTGACAGGAGGGTGGCTTTCTACTGCTTTCCCAGCGTCTCCGGGCCGTGATTTTGATCATTTGGCGACTTTTGCCGAACTTTAAAGCAGGCAGTGAGTTTGCTGCAGTTCAGTTGAACGCGGGGGTCTAGGGGGGTCTTGTGTCTAAATGGTTGGCTCTCTGTAGCTCTGCATTTGAAAACATGGTGTGAGATCGTCTGGGTCTGAAGTTCAGTAGCTGAGAAGGTGGGAGTCTGAGTCTTCCTGATGGACTGAGGAAATATGTCAGTTCAGTGTACTCACTGCGATGAAGTGGATTGTGTGCTGCTGCTGCTTTTCTTTTTCTTGCAAGTGCCATACTTTTTGTGCTATTTATCCTAACCTAAGAGTGAATGAGTTTTGGAACGCTTATGTTATGATGATACTTCATAACTGCTCCATTCCTGCCAACTTTCATCACTGCACAACCAACTCAGCCTTTTGCTGCTGAGGATACTGTGTACTGTATAAGAGCTGTAATAACAAAGCCATTTAATAGCCACTCTGATAGGTTTCCTGTTACGCCATTTCTGGTTTCACTCTAGTTTCTCTAATTTAGCCATTTCAGGTGGCAACTTAGGTCTGCGTTGCTGGATGCTATTCATTTTAATAACAGTTTTGCCTAATAGCATTGATCACTGTGATCAAGAAACCTGTGGCCTGCCACAACTCTCATCCCTGATCATTGGCAATGGTGACTTGGATTGCTGGGAGTTGTGGTCTTCCAGATATTGATGGGCTACTTGTTTCTCTTCCATGACCTACAGACATTTGCTGAAAGTAAACTTTATGCAAATGCCTAGTCAACTGGTTACTCCTTTGAGGTTGTTGGGAGTTGTGACTTCAGCTTTTGTGTATAGATGTACTAACAGAGTACTTTGTTAAAATGCTTTTTGGACAATAGCATGGTTGCAATCACAATCTAGCTTGCAAATATGAGAGTAGACAGTGTGTTGAATGCGGCTCATAGAGAGTAAACTATATTTTTTTCCAAGGTATGTAAAGGATTTCCTGTTTCGGTGTAAACATGCTACATTTGCATCATGGGATCATGGGGTGGATCCAGACTAAGTTGGTTTCATTTTGTTCTCAATGAAATCTGGGACAAATTAATAATGACTTTACATATGTCCCTTTGATTTAAGTGCCACTCAAGCCGGATTTAGCCTTTGAGTTGGACTGCCTGTCTACACATTCTCTGCTTTCTATCAATTGTGAAAGTTTATGAAATAGATCCTTCTATCACAAGGCCAGAATTTTGGTTCAGGACCAAAGCTGCAGGGACAGCGAGATTGAATTTTGGCAACCTTGAGATACAGAAGGTGAAGCCTGAATATTTTAGTTCTTGGTTTGTGGCTCATATGGTCTGGTTTTGTTGGACTTCATCAGAAGACTAAACAAATTTGTACTAAAAGCCTTTAGTCTGTTCAGAGAAGGGAGACTACATGTGGCATCATTCCAAAGACATTTGCAAACCACTTCAATACAATTCTTACTTGTCTCTTCCTTGTGTCTCCATGACTGGTGCTCTCTTCAAACTTTTCAGTGGAACCTAGAGGCTTTCTGGGTATCTTTGCCAAAAAAAAAGAAAAAAACCTTCAGTTTAATGTAAAACGATCTGCTTATCTATTGTTATTATTATTATTATTAATCACCATTATTATTATTATCGTTACCATCATCATCCCCACCCTCTCTAATGTAAAGCTGATAAGCTATCTGACTGTTGGACTTAAGCAGTAAACACTTGTGCTGAAGCATGGACAGATCTCATTTGTTGCACCCCCCCTTAAAAAAAACAAAATCAGTTGACAATCTTTTGGTTTAATTTGTGTTTATATTCATGCAAACACCAAAATGCTGGGAAAGTATGGCTGTTAAGGGCCACACCATTAAGACACATTAGGCAATATATATATGGTATGGTACCCTTTTATTGTCATCTTTCAGGCTTCACTACCTTCAAGCTGGATGGTTCTTAGTGGCCAGGACCCTGAAGATTGTCAGGTCCAAGCCCCTGCCACAGATAAAGCATTTTGATGCATATTTCTTTTAGGTAGTTTAAGTGAGAGAATGGTCAGGACGAAGATTGCTGTTGTGCTGATACCAGTATAATGTGGCAGTAGCAACATAATATTGTGTATTCCAGATTGAGAGCAGCATTGTGGCAATACTTTTCTGTGGCAGGGCTCAGCTCTGTAATATTCAAACCATGAACAAAATTACCTTTGGACATGTGTAGTGTGGAATTTCCCTTTAAATAAGTCACCAAAACACTGTTTGATATGAAATATTACTTCACAGGGTGTACTTTCCTTAGAAAGTTTTAAGCCCTAGTTTTGTAAAAGAGTAGATACACCATTTAAGAATAGAAAATAATTTCTGATGCATGCATATTTACTATACCTTTTTATAAAACTTGCAAGTGCTATATCTTCTCAAGTTTTCCCCCCCTTCTGAGAATAAGATTATGATGGATGACAGAATTACAATGAGACTTAAGGAAGATAAGTACGTATTACTTACATAAAGTATTGTCCAATCTTTCATATACATTGTACTTCCTTAGTTACTTTAAAGACAAGAGTTTTCTAAGGGGACAATGATACTAACGCTACAGTATCATGGAGAACACTACTCTTGAGTTGTGTTCAGCTGAGTAATTGGAATTAATGTGTCTTAAATTATGTCTGCTAATTTCAGTAGGACACCTCTTAGTTTGACTTAACTTGGACACGACCCTTTGCCGTAACCCCATATAGTTTGCATATAGTTACAAAGCAGTAAAGCCTGACTCCTTCCTATGCCATAAACTGATAGGTAATTAGGAAAAAAGTGCTTTCTTTTTTTCTCATTCTGCACTTTTCAGAAATATTAGCCTACCATACAGGATTTTTGTTTCAGGATTGTAAAACCAGCCCATGTGTAGGAGATGTACAGAACAGAAGGGTTAAGAATAGAATTTAGAATAAAATTTATTATTTATACCCTGCCCATCTGGCTGGGTTTGCTTCCCTTGTGGCTGTCCTGTGCTAGGAGAGGGTTAGAGTAAATGACCTCCAAGGTCCCTTCCAACTCATATAATCCTTTGTGGATATATGATTGGTTGCCAGGTGGGTACTTATAACCTGGAACAGTAGCTCAGTTGCATAGACTCCCATGTTTCTAGTTCAGTGAATAAACAGATCTGAGACATGGGTCTACTCCTCTGTCACTGAAAGCCATCCAACTCCAAGATATGGTGAAGCTTGAAATAAATCATAGGATACCATACCATATTGCCTAAATAATGCATCTGTTGAGGGTTTGGCCCCTTACATTTGCACTTGCCTGAGTGAACATGGAACACCCTGGTGGCTACTGTTGGTTGAATTCGATTAAATTTTGAGAAACCTATACCTGCAACTCTCTGATCAAGCAACTTGTAATTGAGCATGAGAAACTGACGGGAAAAGGAAAGGAAGCAATATGACAGCACCCCAATTTCGAAATATAAGACATCACCTAAAATTTACATTACACCTATCTGGGGTTAATTTGTTAAGTGAAAAATGCAGAGTAACCAAATCAGATGTGGGAAGAGATACATGTCCAAGTAGAAATTGTTCAGATGCATTTGTAGCAAGTATTTGGGAAAGCTGTACTTGTAGAATTTCTGCCTGGATATTCACTTCATAATGCTGTGATGGAGCTCCACACATTTATAGATGCCAGGCAGAAATTCTTAGGTGAGTACATCACAAGTGTTGGGAGAAGGTGTACCTGTAGAATTACAGGTTTCATGTTTAATACACATATTAGCTGTCTGTATTAGTTCCCTATTTTAGGAAGAATTTGGTGATCCAGAAGCTCTTAATGCCTTCATTCAGAAATTTTATTTATTCCTGTAATTGCTCCTCCCTGTTTCCTTTCACTCTTAACTTCTGTCTTATATTCTCCTCCCAAACTGGCACTTCCTCTCATCCCTGTCCTGAATTAAAGAATTTCCTGGGAAATTACTGGTGCTAAACTGCAGGAGAGATAACACAAAATATTTAGGACAATTCTTGATAATAGAGTAATGGTTACTTTTACTAACCATTTTGGCTTTTATTTTAAATCTTAGGTGATAAAGAGTACTGATTTTGTTAAATAGCAGTAATATTACATGGTATTGCCCCAAAACTCTGGTACAAGCAAAGTCATTAAAAGTTGCTTGTTTTACTTGGCTCCAAATCGGAGAGTTTAAAAAAGGTTTGGGCTCTTATGTTATGTTTTATGGTTGAGGATATTTTAATGAATACTTCCTGGTTCAATGCTGCTGGACTATTAATTGTTTCTAATGAAATACAGCAACTGAGATTTCATCCCTCTTTCCAAATATATTGTTCCTTTTTCTAGATGTCTGCTTTAGCCTGTTGATACCCATAATTATTTTTTTCCTACTTGACAAACATGGGAAGCCTCTTCAACCCTTAAAGTGAGCAATGGCTATCTATTCTATCAGTACAGGAACTATGGTGACTACCAGTGTTAGAAATAAGTCAGGCGCATTTTGCAACTCACGCGTATGCAATTGTAACCACATGGAGATCTCTGGGTGCCTGGTTGGCGACGGGAAAGCAAAATGTCACTTAGAGAAGGATCTGAAATCTTTTAATTGAAGCTTGAATTTGTTTTATTCTGGATTATTTTATTTGATCTTTTAATGTGTTGTAAACCACTTTGAGATTTGCTCTTTAAAAAGTAAAGCGGTGCAGAAATGCTGCTGCTGCTGCTGCTGACAATGATAATAACAATTAATAAATAATAAGTGCATTTAAAAATGCATTTAAAAATTGCAGCAACTGTAACCCATCTGTAAGGTACCATTTAGCGATTATATATTTCTAACATTGCTGACTAGGTAGCGGGGGTATTGTTTGATTCAGGCTCTGTGATGGAGGCCAAATTTGGCTGTAAACAACAGAAGTACATGGGTGCAATTCGATTTGTTTTGTTGGAAATTTAAAATGTAAGAGTTATTTGTGAAGGACTATAGTTCAGAACATCTGCTTTGTATGCAGATTCAATCCCTGGCATTTCCAGTAGGACTGAAAATTCCTCTGTGCTTGAAACCCTGCAGAACCAGGTCCAATCAGCATAGACAATACTGAGCTGGATGGACCAGTGGTCTGGCTTGGTATAAAGCAGCTTCCTATATTCCCATGTCTTAAGTAAAGCATATTACAGTCATACTTTGGTTTCCAAACAGCTTAGCTCTCGAATGTTTTGGCTCCTGAACGCTGCAAACCCAGAAGTGACTGTTCTGGTCTGTGAACTATTTTTTGGAAGCCGAATGTCCAATGGGGCTTCCATGGCTTCCGATTGGCTGCAGGAGCTTTGGTTTCCGAACGTTTTGGAAGTTGAACGGACTTGCAGGATGGATTTTGTTTGACTTCCAAGGTACGACTGTAGTATGAATATCTTTTCTTATGGACCTGGCAAAATAAAACAAGTAAAAGTGAATAACGCAGTGAATATTATGTGATTTCAAAATATTGTTTGTGATTCAAAGAGCTGATTAGGCTCATGCAAACAGATTGTTTTGGCCTTCTGTTTTGTTTTTTACTTTCACTGGTTAACCCCATGCCTTGTTAAAAATGTATTTTGAAGTTTGCTATATAGTATGGTGGGAGTGATGTTTGTGGGGAGAAGTCTAAAGTTTCCTTTCTTTGGCTTCTTGTTACACCTTCAAGTCATAGTTGAACAAAAATTCATCTGCTGTTCGGATTGCTATAGTTTTACTCTTTGAGAGCTGCTCTGTGTAAATGCAAGTGTTGGGTCATCGTGCTTAAATCACTTGACTGCTGAAACTGTTGCTACACCAAGATGGAATCCAGAGTTACAAAATGGGAAATGCAGGCTGGGAAGAGTGGCATGAGGATCTTTGGCAATCATGATTTATTTATAAATACATGCTTGCACAGAACGGATGTGCATGGCTTGTATTGGCCTTAAGTGGCAGGCAAGCTAGAGCATTTGAGAAAATAGGCTGAAATTCTGCTTCAGTATGTGTGACACTGGGAGCAAGTACGTGAAACATGAACAGTCATCGGTGGTGGCAAACTAATTACCAGAAATACTTAACAGAGGAAGCTGTCTTTAAACGTTAGACTTCTAAGGTATGTGTAATTGAGAGAACGTATGTGTCACCCAAACTAAAACTTGGTTTAGCTTTTGACAAAACATGTTAGTCAAATGCATAACACATGGAGCACTGTTTTCCAAACTTGAAGTCTATGAAAACATCCAATTGTGCAACTTGTATGCTAAATTATAAATGTTGGTCCAGGCTACTGCCTCTCCTGTACAAAAGTCTACGTAAGTTTAGCACAAGCTAGAAATTTTGTCTTTTCATATGCACAGTAATGTCAGCTTTATATACTCTGTAATCAGACTGTCTAGAGTAAGGTTCTGTAATACTAAAATTTAACCTGATTGAAACAGGCAAAACTAGAATTCTGAACATGTATGAACGTTATTTAACACTTGTATAAAGGATCACTTTGTGTGTGCTTTTAATTGTGGCATTGCCTTAGGTGCCTCTAATGAAAATTTATACAATAAATGAGTTGTTCAAAAAATCAAAAGCCACACTTGTAACTTGGTAGGCAAATCTGAGCATGGCAGATCAAAAGTCAGACCAGTGGTGACCCTGTTCATTTTAAGTTTACATCTATACTTTCAGGAAGTTGCTCTGATTTATTGGCTACAGCATGATTTTGCTGCTCTGGTGTGCTGCATGGCCAAATGATCTGCAATGGACATACTAAGCTCAAACTTTGAGAACAAGCTGTATAAGCCAGCGTAAGAAATTGGTGCAGATTTTAGTTGACTAACATAAATTACGTTTCGGAGCCTGAAAGTTAGACAGCCTTTTATAGTAGGCTTACTGGTATTTCAGAGACACATTGTTAAAATTCTGTAGTGCATATAAATCTGGATAGGTAACTTGAACACTCTTTTGACCCACCATTCATGTTTTCTTGCTATTGTGTCATCCCTGCAGTTCTCCAGCTTCCTTTTCGTATTTTCCCTCTTTAAACCAAGAAGCAAAATGAGCCTTTTCTAGTATTGTAGAATGATTTCCACTGACAACACCATTCCCTTATGTTTAAACAGAAAAGAACAGTGATTTCCTTGTTAGCAAAGCTGTTTAAAGCTTGACACCAGTTGCCTGCATGGTGAGGTTCCAGCTTCATGTCATAAACAGCTACTTGCTGGTGAAGTATGCTGAACTGAATTGTATTGAGTTGTCCTCCCCATTCTCTCATTGATTAAAATTAAAGGGCAGGGTGGTCTGAAACAGGGCCTGACCAGGTGCATGGCCCTCTGCAACATTTGACACTCCATCCCTGCAGCTGGTCTTCTGCTGCCTTCCCAAAGGCAGGTAAGTGAGTTGCTGGGCTTTGGGGAGGAAGTCTGAGGGCTCTGTCAGGGTCCTAGAGTCCTCTCCCCTCTTTCCCAAAGCTCAGTTAGCACTTCCCCAGCTTTGGGAAGGAGATAGGAGGCCTCTAGGACCCTGCCAGAGTCTTGTGCCACTTTCTCAAAAAAAAACAGTGACTGACTCACTTACCCAGCTTTGGGAAGGCTGGGGGAGGGGCTCACTTCTCCCCCCACCCCACCCCCAACAAGCCAGTGTGCAGCCTGCAGGTTCCATGTAAGAGAACTCATGAGGCTCACTTGGTATGAAAATAGATATAGGGATTTAGATTTAGAACCCATCACTCCACATCCTTAATGACTACTTGATGTGTGATACAAAACTTTCATTACTTCATAAGCTGACAGTTGTTGCCACCATTGTGCTCCATGAACACTGCAATACATTTAGCAACAAATAAAGGACAGGCTTTTCCTTGGCAGTGAAAAACAAAGAGCTCAAGATTTCCTAAAGGCTACTTAAAGCAACTGTCAGAAAGATCTTGCTAGTCAGTAGTGTGTGAGCTCAGGCAGGCAATCTGTAAATGGACAGGGCCTTAGCATAACTGGAAATACTGTGGTTGCATGTTGAAAACTCAGTTTCAGATACTTGGTATTATAACTAGTCTGTCAACCTCAGTTGACCCAGAACAGCTTGATTAGCCTAACTAACCAACCCTCTCCTAGCATGCTACGAGGTTCAGTCACTTCTCAGTGCATTAGTGAAAAAGGTATACAAATGTAACTAAAATTTGTTTCCAGAAAGGAAATTGTTGCATCCTGCTTGGAGGGTAAAGTAATTGTCTTGGAGGATGATATGCTTCCTAGTTTGCTATTTATCTCCATAAAATAATTTCCAACCAGTTTTTAGTACAGTGGTACATCGGGTTAAGTACTTAATTCGTTCCGGAGGTCCGTTCTTAACCTGAAACTGTTCTTAACCTGAAGCACCACTTTAGCTAATGGGGCTTCCTGCTGCTGCCGCGCCGCTAGAGCACGATTTCTGTTCTCATCCTGAAGCAAAGTTCTTAACCCGAGGTACTATTTCTGGTCTGTAACCTGAAGTGTATGTAACCTGAAGCGTATGTAACCCAAGGTACCACTATATAGGAACTTTAAAATGCAGTCCATCTAGTACATGGGTAGGGAAGTTTTTCGGTTTCACGGATCAGATCCTGCTGGAACAGGATTGCACAGCCAATGCAGGATTAAACTCTTTGCTCACATTTACAAGCCGACGTCACCAGTGATGTCTGCTGGTGCAGAGGTGCTTTTGGGAAAATGACCTCATGGGTGAAATTGTACCCTCTAGCAGACCAAGATTCTCCCCCAAACCTGGAGGTTCCCTGGCTGTGATCTAGCAGAACATTATAGTTTGAACTTTAGGTGCGGTGCTAATAGCAGCAAGGCACTTTTTATGTTTTTAGCTTTAGGAAACCCCAGATGAGCAGGCAATCATTTGAAGTGTAGCATGTTAGTAATGGCAAGATACTTGTTTGAAAAGCAAGTAATTCATGACATCCTGCCAAGCCATGGTGCAAATGTTTGCTACAATGGTCATAATTAATCATTCCATAGACAATTGATATACCACTTCTTTTTTACCCAAGGCATTAATAGAAGCAAAGCCTACCCTGTTTGTATTGCCACACGCTGCTCATCAATATGCTATTCCTTAACGTGAGTTCAAGCTGCTTAAAGTCACACCCTTATTTCAAAACCCAGTAAGGCTCAAGAGCTAATTATGCTATCACATTAAAAGACCAGTTCTACCTTTGAAGTCCAGCTATTCCTCAGAGTGCCTTTTTATCATCTTTGTCTGCTATACCTGCTGTGACTCTACCTGACTGGAAGTACACTGGCCACAGTTACCTATACCCCAGTAACTTCTTGTTAAGCCTCGCTGTGTTTTGTAATTAGGGCTGCCTTTGAAAATAGCCTGCAACCTAACTCGTCCAAAGTATGACTGCAAGCTGCAGCTGGGAGATTTCGATCATATTCATACCAGTGCTTTATCAAGTGCACTGGCTCCAGTCCATTATGAGGCCAAATTAAAGAGGGCACCTGAAAGATTGCTGCCTTCCACATGTACTGACCTGAATGTTAATGTCCTCTTCACAGACCTTCTTTTGGTGCCCCTGCCAAATAGGCGAGCAGGATGACTAGTGGTGAGTCAGTGGGCCTCCTTGGTGCTGGCAACCCAGTTGTAGAATGCCCTCCCTGATGAGGCTTGCCTGGCACTGCCTTTTTGGTCACTTTGGTGCCAGGGGAATACTAGTTTAGAAGTTTGTACATTGTAACACACTGTTTACTTGCTTCATGTTTTTATCCATGCTGTGAAACTGGCTTTACCTGGAACTCCTTTAGCTCTGTTTGGGCATTGTATTCCAAATCAGTGTTAGAAACTCAGATACAGTGGTACCTTGGGTTACATACGCTTCAGGTTACATACACTTCAGGTTACAGACTCTGCTAACCCAGAAATAGTACCTCAGGTTAAGAACTTTGCTTCAGGATAAGAACAGAAATCGTGCTCTTGCGGCGCGGCGGCAGCGGGAGGCCCCATTAGCTAAAGTGGTGCTTCAGGTTAAGAACAGTTTCAGGTTAAGAACGGACTTCCAGAACGAATTAAGTACTTAACCTGAGGTACCACTGTATATAAGCTAGGTGCCAAATGGCTCCTTAAACCAGGGTTACAGTCGCCAATGTCTGGTTGCCATTTTGGGTCCAGATGGTTTTTCAATAAGACTTTTTGGTTCCTGAAATTCATTCTGATTGTACAGATAAAATATGATGGATAGAATTCTACAGGATGGGGTATATTAGTGTGCGAAAACAGTCAGGATCCAAGGATCCCCTGGCATGCACCTCCAGATGGTGGAGACGTCAGGCACCATCCTGGCCCCCAGGCATCTTCACGGGGTCGCAAGTGGCTGATAGCCAGGTGCAAAATGTGCATGGCACCTGGCAAATATCAAATTCTGTTCCAAATGTGTGAAGAGGCCTATGCACCAACCACACGTATGCAGTGAGCGCAGGATTGGCATTGGTCTGATGAGGGTGCTTCTACATACCACTCCACTTGCTTAATTCTATGTAGCATCTTGCCTGCTGAAGAAATGTAGAGAACTGACATTTTGGTTGGTCCCAATGAAGGTATTGCTCAGCTGTGGATCTTGACCTGTAAAAAACCCTCCTCTCGGGGTTCTTATCCCTAGGTTGCAAATACTAGGCCAGGCACCCCCAAACTCGGCCCTCCAGATGTTTTTTGACTACAGTTCCCATCATCCTTGACCACTGGTCCTGTTAGCTAGGGATGATGGGAGTTGTAGTCCCAAAAATTATGGAGGGCCAAGTTTGGGGATGCCTGCAATAGGCGCATAGTTGTCCCCATTGAGGGGTATGGCCAGCACATTCCTTGCTGCCTAGCAACCTTTCACATCCACTACTCCCTATGGCCTGAGCAGGGCTCTTTTTCACTGGAGCTGTTTTATAATATTATATTTTACTGTAACAGTGTTACTAGGTGGCCTACATAAATTCCATGAATAGAATAAAATGATAACTATAACCACACTGTGAAATTCCTGTATGATGAAGTAGTATAATTCTACAAGGCACCAAAAATTTCTCATTTCTTTCTAATTTTACACTAAATTCTTATAAAAGGGGAAGCAGCCTTGACTCTCATTAAACATCCATGGAATTGTTAGAATTTTTCTGAATGAGCAGAAAAGTAATTCAGAAACTGGTGTGGTGATGCTAGAGGGTAAATGCAGAAGTTGTCCTGCCAGGTTTCCTGTTATGCCCAGTTTTTTAAATATGCAGTCAATGGGAACAAAACACTTTTATGCTAAAAAGGGCCTAAATTCCTGCTTCTCACACCTAATGAAGTTTGTGAAACTCATATAGCTGCTTGGCCTTGCCTGGAACAAACACTATACATTGGCCTCACTATGTGGTTGAACTTAGATTAGCACTCTCATTAACAAGTTGCATGGCTGCCATTGCCACCCCATAGTGGTGGTGACTCACAGCCTCTGACTTGCAACATATTCTCCAGCATGAGTCTACTACGTCAACATTAGAAAAATGTCCATAAGAGATGCTCAGATCATTGCTGACTGAATTTTTGTAAACTGTTGAGCCCTGTACGTTTTCGGCAAATTTTAAAGGTTATTTCTGTTGTTTGGTTGTGTTTGTGATCATTATTACTGAAAAGATCTCTTGCCTCTTACACACCTTCTCCTTGCCCTGAGGCTGATTCAAAGGAGAAGATGGAAGTGAACTTTAATTAGTTATTTGCACTTGTAGCAGCTGCCAAGAAGAAAAAAGCCACCCTGGAAACTTATTTCTTATGGAGTTCATCTGGGGGCTCTGCAAAACCCTTTGGGGGGGGGGCTACTGTTTGAGGGGTTGTGGGATTCAGTTTCCTAGTACTCAGAGAGCAGCCATTGCTTCACATCTTCCTCAGTTGATTCCGGGTAGCATAGAAGAAGTTCTGCCTAAGTTTACAGCAAACTCTGTTTTATATTAAAGGAAGTAAACTTGTGCAGAAGAGACATGGGTTTTGTTAACTTACAAATCACCAACATAGTTTTGTGATAAATGGTTGCCAGCTTGAGGTTTTTCTAACATTAACAGTTAAAACCTGTGAAGAGGAATCATTGATGAAAAGGCTCCTATGCAATGTTTACTATAATGTCTTTTTTGCCTCTTCAAAGTTATGCCAAAAGGATACCCAAATATTCATTTCCTTTGGGGGTTTCTTTACTGCTTTTTATACTTGTAACCCCAGCATTGTGTCAGGGAACTGCAATCAGTGCCGGAGGGAGAGAGCAAAATCCAGAGGGATTCCAGAGAGCGTCCCGGGGAAGAGAATCAGCATAGCACCAGTGGAGAAGGGGGGCAGATGGGGGAAGCGGCGAGGCGGTCCCATGACTCCTTGCCAGGGACCAGCGGGGAGAGTAGAGGTCCTCCGCTGCCTACGCCCTCCTTGCGCAGAAGGCTTTCGCGCAGAGAGAGTAGGAGGAGACTAGGCGTCAAAGAGCTTCTTTGCTGGAAGAAGTTTAAGAAACGCCCACTGACGGATTCTGTCAGCGATTGAGACAGCCACGGGTGAGTGGCTGTCCGGACAGAAAAGGTTCACTCAGGCAACTCAGCCAGGTGTTTGCACCAGCTTACGCACGAGCAACCCCTAGAACCACTACACATTGCTATGCTTTTTCCTGTTTTACAGTGTAGTTCTGTGCATGTTGACTTGGAAGTTAGTTCTTCTATATTCAGTAGAAATTACTTCCTTATAAATCTATTAGAATTGAAGCCTTGAGGTCTAAGTTATGTTGATTTTTAAGAAGTTTTGTTGTGCACTGTTTTTGTTTTATTTTAGAAATCTTGACTATAGCGTAAGTGGTGTATAAGATAAAAACAAAATAAAGCACAAGTTCTAAAAACAAAGCATTTCAGCAAACTCCGAAAGCAATGAAATCATTTTTACACATTCTAAAAATAATATAACAATTTGTTCAAATATATAATTGCATATAGATATTTGGGGATCCCTTCTGTGAAGAGGTGTTTGGTTGTTTTGTAGTCTTGGATGGTACTGAAACAGGCAATTTGCAGGTGTATGTTTCAGAGAGAAATGGGCTAGTAATTACTTCCATCCTGTTGACAATGCTATACTGAAATATATATTCAGAATTGTCAGGCAAATTAATTTAAGTTCAAAATACAAAGGTTTTTTTTGTGACATACCTTTGAAATTCATAGGTAGTTACTATATTCTGATTTACTAGGTTTTGGTAACTTTAGTTCCAGGAGCTGAGAGTGTTCCAGTTTGTTTTGGGGGGAAATTAAGTGGCTTTGTTTGTGTGTTTTAAAATCAAAGCTATCCATACAGCATCAAATTACTGAACTTTGTAACCATAAGTAGGGTAAATGAGTTGGAAACCGTTACAAAATTAACAAGTTATGTGTGGAGTTTGGTAAAGCTCAGTCTGAAGATAAAGAAATTGATTCTTTGTGTTATAGAAACTAGGACAGGATACTTCTTGTAACAAACATATCAAACCCTTAACATACAGCTAGTCAAGCTCTGTAGTTCAGTTGCATTCCTTTCTTCTTGGTCTCATTTGATCTGTGTTTCATTAATGTGCTCAGGATTACAGCTTCAAACCTTAGTTTCCTTAACTGCTGTATCCAAACCGAAAGAAACACTACCTTGAATAAATGGAGTAAAATGAGACCAGCTTTTACTTTAGATGACATCACCTGAAGAAGTTTTTTTTAAAAAAGTTAGTAGTTAGTGTGATAGACAATTGGGCTAATGTGCAATTAGTCTTGAAAATGTTTGGTTATGACACAGTGCAGCTCTAATAATTTCAGGTGTCTTATAATAAAATCAGTAAGCTTATTCCTGAAAGATGACATGCAGAGGTACCTCTCAGATTAATTGTTGTAGGCCAGGAAGAGTGTGTGCCTATGTGTTTTGAAAATGAAAGTTTGCTTTTGGTATGTATTTCAATATAGAAATTAAACTTTGTAGTCCCTACACTAGTGGTGAACTCAAGTCACTTGGGCAAAAGAACTGCTGGGGAGACCTTTCTGTTGCACATTTTCTTGTGTGCAGAGGTCTTTCCATTTCCCTTTTGGTTTTAGCCTCCTGTGCAGCTAAAAGCACTCTGAAGGATCTCCTGATCCTCTGGAATCAGTTTTGAATGAGGGATTAGAAGAAGAGAAAATAATTATAACCCTAGCACAAGTGCAAGCACTCTCTGCTTCTGCAGCTCAGTCATTTTGGAACTAAGACATCAAGTTTTAAATTTATGATTTTATAATTGAAAAACTTTATTGTGAAATAAAGTATAATAAAGTTGAACATTATTTATAAATGTATATAATTCATAAGATAAATAAAGTTGCATTCTGCCAGTGAACCTATTCAGCTTGACATCTGGAGTTTTGTTATGTTTCTTTCCCGTATGTTAATCAAACTTTTTCAGCTGGAAAGTGATGCACTTCTCCAAATGGGTCTATTTTTGTGTTAAAATTGAAAATGTGGTTTAAATATTGGGTGTGATTAAGCAGTGTTCTCTGTACTCTTTATTAAGGTAAGCAGTTTCACATAGTGGTGCAGGAATCCTTCAAGAGAAAGTATGAATGAAAACTTTTCCAAGAGCGGGCTTTAGAGTTTTCAACATGTTGGAATCCTTTCGCTTGATCAAAGCTGCATTTTTAAATCCTTCGTTAATACCTCATTTCAGGTTATACCACCTTCCCATGTAGTTCCTCAACAGAAACTCGCTGCTAATGACAGTTCAGCAAAACTGATGAGTCACCAAGCTAATGCTTTCCAAAACAGCTTGATTATTAGTGTTGGGGCATTGAGATTTTATGCTTAAATGGGCAGCCGTTCTTGGTTGGATATTTCAATTTATCCCTTATTGAGGAAGCAGAATAGAGCAAAGCTAAACAATGGTTGACCTGAACCTTTGAATCGGTGCCAGAATGCCAGTTCTATTATTTGCTGCCTTAGAAGTATTGAGCAATGATGAAGCCCCTAGGAAATGGCTTTACATTGGGCAGTAGTACTTGTTGTTGAATCTGCAGCTTGTCTTCCTGAAATAAATACTATTTTATTAGAGGAGGAAGACATTAAGAAGGCCTTTTTCATAAGGGACTGCAATCAAATTGGATTTGGTTTAAGCAAACATAAGAATCGATTTGGCATTCTTGCTTCACTCCTGCCTTTGGCTAGTGTATGGGGAGGAGAATGGAGATAGCTGGTTATAGCAAGTTTCTTGCTTACCTTGGAGCTGATTGCAAGGGAAATCTTTTTTGAAAACTTTATTTATTTAATTCAAGCTCGTTCAGATCTTGTTTTCCAGAGATCCTTGTTAGTAAGGGTTTGTCCCTGTGTTGTGATGAAATCGTTTTCAGTAATTCAACTGTACAAGCCGAAGTGTCACAACACGCAGTTGGTTCCTGCATCATGGATTTTACTAAAGTTGCGTAACAATGACTTAAGAAGCATGTAGTCCAGTTTTGTCATGGGGTGTCTATAAATGGTCCTCTTCTGCAGTCACTCTGAGCCAGAGGCTTATGATTCTTAAGTTGGCAGGTGGTGTTAGCATAGTTTCAGGCCCTAAATAGCAATCAATGTGCTTAATCATAAAACACAATGCAGTTAAGAATATAAAAATAACAATTGCCTATCATTCCCAATGGCTAATTTTTAGTATTGGCATCCTAATGCATTATTGATAACAAACTGGACTGGTAATGGTTTCTTAGAAAGGACTGTGGTGGGTTAACACTGCAGCTTCCCTTCTCACCAGATTTCAGCACCGTGTGATGGGAGATAAAAGCCAGGCTGCATCATGAAGGGTGTGAGGACACAGCCGTTCAGGATCTTCCTGGACTTTTGTGACTTTCCATTGGAAATGAGGGGTAGTGTTTGCCCTAACAGTGAAGCATGGACAGTGGAGGAAGGGTACTGTGTCAGCAGCCACTACACAGACTTCTCAATTCATACCATTTTACCTTACTGTGTTTGGGCTTCCCCCAACTTTTCTATCATTGACAGTCCCCCCAGGAAAGGGGCAGCGGGGGGTTCAACATAAGTTGATCATTAAAAGTGAACTATGAGACCATATCTTTACTACTTACAAGTAAAGAAATACTACATCATCCCCCAGACAAGCAGCAGCAGATGCACATAAACTGCCATCACTTGTAAAACAAAAAACTGGGTCTCATTGCCATGCATCAAAAGTGATAGACACACTACAGTAAGCTGAATTCCCCTGGGAACATGACTCTTGAATGAAGGTCTTAATTTTGCACCTGGGTGCATGTCCGAAATGGTTGAATGGAAGCTCAAAATTCTTTAATTTCTAAACTTTCATTGATCACTATGGGATAATTTTTGTTACTGCCACTGTCTTTATTTTAAAAGCTATCTGAAACATTATAGTCTTTTCCTTAACTTTGGTGGTCTCCTAGCCACTACTCTGTGGTACAGTCAATGAGTATGAACATCAGTATGTGCTTTGTTTTTGTGTTTAAAAGAAAAATCCTCTGGGGCTGCTTCTTGAACTTTGAACCAGGGCGACAGCCATTAGACTTTGTCTGTTGCTATGCACCTAGAATGCTGAGTTGTCTTTGGCAAAACCACAAAGCTGTTGGATTGTTCAGCTCTGTCACAGCTATTTGTATTGTCCAGAGCACTCTGACCGTGTTCAATTAAATGCAAGTCCTGTACAAATGTGATCCAAAATGGATTCTTTGTTGTTGTTGTTCTTCTTCTTGTTGTTGTTTGTTGTTGAAGGCTGCTAAATGTATTATCTGGAGTAGCTTGGAAGGCCTCATCCCTTCAGATGATTTACTATAATATGAGAATATTTTAATTAAATACAACCAGTAATGTGATGATAGGAGCTTTGCTTTGGAAGCTACTGCAAGCCTCAGCAGTGAAAAATGTAAACTGTGGAGACATCCATTAGGCGTCCAATGATTATGTTATCACTAGAGTTAGACTGTCATCTACAGAGGCTTAGCTTCTGAAGCACAGTTCTTATTGTCACAGTACTGACGACATCTTCAGTAAGCTGTCTTTCCTAAAAGATAGTTTAAACCAGGGGTTGTCAATCTGGTCCCCACCGCCCACCAGTGGGCATTTCAGGATACTAGGTGAGCGGTAGGAGGTTCTACGGCACAAGCTGAATCCTCCTTCTATAGAGTGCTGGTGGGTGGTAAGGAAATTTTACCATCAAGAAAGATGCATTAGTGGGCAGTAGGTATCAAAAGGTTGACTACCCCTGGTTTTAACAGTTAAATGCGTCTGTTTCCCTACCTTCTCTCTCAGCTTGAGGCCAAGGATAAGCTAGAACTGGGGGCCCAGCCAGATCACCAGAAGAAGCTAATGTTCCTGCCAAGACTGAGCATGGAATAGAGTGGCAATGGCTGGTGTAAAAAATAGAGACCTCCATCTATTGCGTGGCACTCAGCTCTCAAAAGCTGAGTGCTGGTAGCTTAGCATCTGTCTGATCCTTACTTGAGGCAGGGAGGACAACTGCAGTGCCAGGTTGCTAGACGTAGAGATGAAAAAAAAAACCTTAAACCAGTAATTCCAGTACTAAGTGGTAGAGTGCACTAGTGTGCCATGACAAGTTTGTTTGTTGGTATCATGTAGCATAAGGTTTCCACCCACTGACCCTGAGAGGCGACTGTCTTCAGTCACTGTACTTTCTGAGTTGGGTATGGCTTTTTCTGAGAAGCTGCCATCAAGGTGGGTATTTGTGTCATTCCTTTGCATAAAATGGCATTTTTTAATGTGCATGCCTCCAGAGGAAGGGCCCAGAACAAGTAAATTTTTAGAAAGGAATAGTCTTAACATGTTTAAGGGATGGTTGCCTATCATTGATTTTAAAGGCAACCTTCATCTTTTTTTATTACACTGGAAAAAATAACTCAAAATATTAATTTCTGCAATAGGCAGTTCATGTTGTGCTACTAATGAATGGAGTATATTTTGTGATTTTACTATTTTATATGGTTTTGGTTTATTGTACTTTTGGTTTATTGTACCTTTATTTGGTACTTTGAGTGCCTTTGGCACCCAAAGCAGTATATCAGTAAACTATAATGGAACACAGATTTCCTCCATGTAACTAACTGAACTTTGCACGAGTCTCTGACAAATTAGGAAGTCTTATCCAGTAACTAAGGAGCAACTTAGAATTTTTTTTTTAGAGAAAGAAGTGAAGCCTACTCCCAATTGCAACAACAATGCAGGTGGGTCGTGCCCACCCCCCGGAGTCTTTAGTAAAACTGTTCTAGATACAATCAAAATTATATATTACATATCTGCGCCATGTAAAAGTTGCAGGTGGATTTCAGATTTCATCATAGGCAGTACTTGATTGCTGCCAGCAGTTTGTCATGTCCTGTACATGTCTGTACAGTTTTTTCAGCTTTGAAGATGGAAAACTGGGTCACAACCTATAGAAGCCCTTCCAAAATATCTGCTCTTACAGGATGCTTCCGTGATTATGAGGAAGGAACCACACTAAGATGTCTGTAACTCTGAACTTTTATCCTGTTTAATACAATTTGCCAGCTACAGTTTTTTGTGGCCATTTCTGAAAGCTGCCATTTTGAAGTTTTCATTATTAAGTACCATTAGCTGACATCTGATCCTGGAGCTTAGAACAAGCAAGCTGAAAGGCCTAGCAAAGTGGGGTTAAGTAGTAGTGACCTAGGAAAGAAGGGACTGTGGACATGAAAGAAAGCACAGCAAAACAAGCGATTGGATTCAGAAGAGGCAATTGTCCAGAGGAAAGATGATAAGGGTAGAGGTGGGAGAGAGAATCAGGATCTGAAAAAAGTGAGGAATCACATATCTGAAATACCTAGGTAGATCTTTGACTGCAGGCCTCTTGTACATTTAATGTTTTAGTAGTTGTTAGTAAGGGCAGAGTGAAAAGTCTTTCCATATTGGCCTTAAAATGGACAATAATGGTTTGTTTACAACACTGTCTTGGAATATGAGAGAGAGCTGAGAAAATCTCCACCTCCTGAATCTAAACATTTCTTGGCTGCTGTGTAGCAGCTGAAAACAGATGCCTGCTAGCTGTGCAAGGTGTAATGTGGTCTGTTAATGATATACAAACTGCTAACATCAAAAGGGAGAATAAACAGTACTCTAGTGCCGCTTCCTATTCAGAGATGCGCTTTCTCCCTAGGCAGAGGGTGGTGAGAATGAAAGAGTTGCTGGCATCTTTTCAGTAGCTTATTAACCAAAAAAAGGCTTTGCTGGCAGGATGTTTACCTCTGTATAGCAATTATGATAGTGAAAGGGAACATCTTAAGTGGCAAGAGTGTGGTGTTTTGCCTGCATCAGTTTGTCTGTCTGGTGAGATACCTGCCTGCAGATAGGAATTTTAGGACTGGCTGCAGTGTGGAGTGTTGTTTGCTGGCAGAGTGGATACAGCTGAGGTGTGGGTATGGTCCAGAACTTGATATAAGGATAGGCTCGTCCACAGATGATAGGGTCAACACCAAAGGAAATGTTTCGAAGACTGACAGGCCCTGGATTTGCTTCCTGGTGACCCAGTGATCAGCTGATCAGGAGAGAGAGGAATTTAAATTAAATGCTGGCAGTTCACAGTCAGATAGCGATAGGGACTATCTGAGAGAGTGCAGGCTGGAGATTGTCTGTGGGTTAGATGGGGGCCTGGAATTAGGAATAGAGACCCCTTCTGCCCACCCAAACAGAAAGTCCCTGACTACCTGAGTGAGGTCAGATAGTGAACTGGCAGAAGGTAAGACGGGATTGTCTGTGAGCAGGCAAGGTTCTATCTACATGAGGAGAAGGGAAAGATTCAGAAAGGGACTGGGAGTGTTAGACAATAGCTATCCTAGAAAGAATTTTAGCAGTGACAGGTTAAAAGCATGAAGTTACTTAAGAAAGATCTTAAATATCTCTGTAAAGGGTATTCATTTGAAACAAAGTGTTGTGCCTTTCAAAAGTAACAATTAAGCTTTAACCTCTTTAAATGTAAGCAAGTTCTTGTTTTGTTCTAAAAGTGCTTCATCCTTTCATAGATCCTTTGGGTGAAAATTAAGTGATCACACGTTCCCCTTCACCTAATCATTACACCTTGCTAAAAATAGTAAATTGAAAACCTCTACTATGGGAATACATTGAGCCGTCTGATTTGGTAGTGCTGGTCAGTCCAGAAAAAGACACTGCTTATTCACAACTTGATTGTGGATGAAGGGGGCTGACTTGGCATGTGTTACCAATGCTTGGATGGATGAGCTGGGTGAGCTTCATCTAACTCAACTGTACCCATTTGGGTCCTCAGTACAACACCAGGCTAGATGGAGGATATGTGTGTTGTTATGGTCCATAGAAGCACCATCTCCTTTACCAGAAAACCTCTTGATCTTAGGATGGTTTAGGATGCTAGTCTATCAAAAATCCTGTTGTCCACCAACATCCCTGATGAGGTGACCAAGACAGTCTTTGGCATTGTTTTTGGCACTTTCTGCATGCATGCGGAGATTGCTCTTGGACCGCCATGTGGCTTCATGGTCTCCATGATAACCATACAGCTAATGGTCATAGAACCAACACATGAGGCAGGGCATGCCCTTTATGTAGTCTTTGACCCAAGTGATACGAGGGAAGGTCCAGATGTAACCGGGTGGGGTGTGGGTGTGCAATGCAGTCCCTGGTCATGGTTGGAAAGTTACCTGGTGAAGTTTGGACTGGTAGTGGCAGTTTCCCCTGTATGGGTGATGGACCCATTTGGATGCCCTTCTCTCAGGGAGTTGTCCCTGTTGCCTTCAGATAGGGGTGGTATGGCCACTTCTAAAGAAATGATCCCTGAACCCCTTGGGCTGGAGTAACTATCAAGCATTCACAAATACCCCCTTCTTGAGGAAGGTGGTGGGACATCTGCAAGCATTCTTGGATAACACAAGCATTCTTGGATCCGTTCCAGTCTGGGTTCCAATCTGGCCATGGTACAGAATCACGTCTTGCTCTGCATGATGGATGACCTTTACAGATAGTGGGACAAGGGGAGTGTGACTTGCTCTTCCTTCTTGATGTCTCTGCAGCTTTTAGTGCCAAATCGCAATAGTGCGGCTATCTGGAATGGGAATTGGGGGCATTGTGCTACAGTGGTTCTGGTCTGCGCAGGATACAGAATGCAGAAGGTAGTGTTGGGAGTGTTTTTCATCCCATTGGCAGTGGCATGAATGAGACAAGAAGCTGAACTTGAATCCTGATAAGATGGGCCTTGCTCCATTGAATGCTTTCACCTTATGCAGCAGAGTCTTTAGAGCCAAGACGTTCGTTGCTGAAAATTCAAAAGTAATGTGTCTTCAGTACTGAACTAAAATCTGTGATTCTGAATTATCTGTCTCTATTTTTTTTTAACTGGCAAATTATGGAATGGTCTTGATCAGGAAGAAAGGAACTCCATGTTGTCTTCTGCTATAGTAGATTTGACCAGGAAAGGAGAATGGATTCTCCATCATTGCAAGTAAAAATTGTCAAGTTCAAATGCAAAAATGACAAATTTCATTTAAAAGAATTAGTGTGCTGGTTTTTTTCACAAGATGAAATGAGATAAGTCTTCTTAGCACAAACATCTGTGAAGCAGAAATATAGTATTCACCATACACAACAGTTTCTTTGCAACTGATTTTATTTCTTTGGGATTGTTCTTGATTATTTATATTGGCTTCAGTTATTGCTTTTTGTGATTTAATATTTAAGATGTGTTTTGTTATAGCTGTAAAATGCAATACAAATAAGAAGCAGCAGCAGCCTGGGAACTGTGATAGAGAAATGTGATATAGTTATTCCCCTATGCATAGAGCTAAACACAGCTTCATTGGAAAGGCTGGGGAAGATCAGTGAAACCAGCATATGTTGTATGTTGCAGTGCAGCTGTTCATATTAGCCAACAGTGCTTTCTTTGTAAATTTCAAAGAGCTGATGTTTCCTGCTGAAGTGGGTTTCAGGGTACCGAACCAGGAGCATTGGTGAAAGGCTTGTGTGTTCCAACGTTTTTTTTCTATAGCACTTTCAGTCATGCTAAATACTTGTTGCAGCAGTTGCCTCAGAAGGTTTAATATTGTGTTAATCCGATTTTGCAGGCGGCAAAGTCATGATAGGTACTTCATTTATTAAATTTGAATTATGAATAATTTCTTATGAAGCCTCTCTCCAGCCAAGTAGCGATCTTACGGCTGAGCAGCAATTTGACCTCCCTAGTCTACGTCCATCATTGTAACCCAGCCTTCCTCCACTTGATGGCAGACATTTTAAACTTAAAACTTCCAAAACCTCTTACCATTAGCTATGCCATTTATGGCTGATGAGAGTTGTAGTCCAAACATCTGAAGGACATTAGAGGAAGACAGCTCTATCCACCATACCACACTGTTATCCTAGTGCTTCATTCAAAATCCCTGTTTGGGATAGATACTTGACATTTGTGCCACCCATCTTCTATGTCGTAGGGTAAATTGTATAAATTGCAACGATGCAGCTAAAATTGTCTAACCTGAATGGCTACATGAAAAATAAAAATCAAGATATGCTTAGCATTGTCAAATTACATTTTGAAAGTCTTTATGTCTGCATAGGCAGAAGTTTGATCACGGGGTGATTTACAGTAGACACACCAGTTGGCCAGCAAGGATTTGACTACTAATAGCAAGACTAGAGGCTCTTCTACTTAAATGCAGTTTTGCACTATATATATGCAAATTATCCCAGTCTGTGGCACAGTGAGGTTCAGCAGATAACTGGCTCTGACCCGCCATTATTTTGAACTAGAACCCTAGAGTTCTAGTAAAAAACAAAAAGTAGATCCTACAAGTCTGAAGTCTGCCCACGCCTGCTCCACATAATACATTTTTTGCGAATTGCAGTTTCTCAATCCTTTAGCAATATGACCAGTCTGTTTTGGTGATACTTCACACACCTAACCGGGGCTGTATTTGTTTTCAAATATGGAGACACCCATGTATAAACATTGCTTACTAATCAAACATGTTTAGTCATCTGTCCAGTCTTTATTGCAAATGCCAATTGTTTCCGTGGAGTCAACTGGCCAGTCTTATCAGCTTGGTGGGCACGGTTCTATTTCTTCCTTCCATTTTTTTTAATGGTTTGCAACATCACTCACAGTTACAATCAACTTTACAGCCTTAAATTTTGTGTCCCCTTGTTCTTCAGAGAGTAACTTGATGAGGTAGTAAGCCAAACTAAACACACAAACCACAATGGAGCAGTGTGGACATACTTTTTAGAATCATTGTGGTAGCAATGAGTTTCCAGCTCATCACGTATTTATAGAGAAATTTTGTCTTTGCCAGTGAGGCTATGAATAGCCTGAGAAGAACCCAATCGTGTTTTTTAAAATTGAAGATCCAGTATGAACCCTGGACTTTCAGTGCAGTCTGTAAACTGTTATTGAGTGGCATTGCCTTCTGTTTACCACTATTAGCAATATACAAAATGAGCTATGCATTCTTAATGCCTTTTTTCTTCTTCTATCCTGCAGCTTAGGTGGTGATCAATACAGTTCTCTCTGAGGAGCCAGAAAGCAGGCAGCTCATGACTTCTGATCAGGACCCTAAAGTTGTGGCTGAACCGCAGGTGCAGCAAGTACAAGAAGTTAAAGATAGTTCTCATCTAGTAAGTATCATGGCGAAGACTTGATAAATCTGAATGCATGAAAGTGTGGTTATTTTAGCCACTGTTCTAGCCCCTGAATCTTATGCCTGCTTTGGGTAACTTGTGATACAAGTTATTTTCTGTATTGGTTCTGCAGCAAATAGAAGTCTTTTCGTGGCTCATTTCATTTAGTTGTGCTAAGCATATGAAACAGAAAGCTACCTTTCAGCTTTCTGGTTCTGCTAGTTATATTCATTCAAAGGAGAAGTTTTGTCACAGGTTCCCTTAGTCTAAAACAGGAATAAGCTACTGTGTGTAACAATTGTTTTTTTATATGCTTACTCTTTTGACTTTCTGCTGCACACACAGGGCTTTCATTTCAATAGCAAACAGCGTTAAGGGAGGTCTTCTGGAGTAGTAAAGTCCACAAAATGAAATTTGGATAAATTGAAATGATTACTATTACTATTGATTGATTGATGATTACCCGCCCTTCACTCGTAAGCTTCCAGGGCAAGTTACAACATTAAAACACAATATTAAAAACAGTTCAGAGCACAGTCACAGAAACAAGGTGGGTCCTAAACATATAATCTCAACTGTCAAAAGCTGTATATGGGAGGCTGTATAATGAAGGTACCAGATGCAGCTCTGTTAGGAGGGAGTTCCACAACTTAGTGGCTGCCACAGAGTTAACCTCTCCTGGGCTCCGTCTGCCAATCTTAGCAGAAGGGAAGGAGATGACTTTTCAGGTATTGGGGGCCTGAGTTGTTTAGGGCTTTAAACACCAACATAAGCATCTTGAATTAGGCTTGGAAATGAACTAGCATCCAATGCAGCTGTTTTAAAACAGAGGTATATCATCGTCGTCGTCATTATATTTATTAAATTTCTATATAAGGTCTGTCAAATCTGGCCCATCGGGCAGGGCCAGATAAAAATCTGATCCCCAGAGCCAAAAACGTTCCCCGTCCCTGCTGTAACTTGTGGACATTCTCTCTTTAGCCAGACTGAGGCAAAACCTGTTGGTTTAGGTATGCCACATAGAATGGTTTTTCTTTTGTGGGCAGAACTGAATTGTTTCGGACACATTCCCCCCCCACCTGCCCCAGTTTTGGGCATCACATCGAGAAATTGAGGTGAATCATTTTAGTGCAAATGGTCATGTGAGAATAGTGTGTAAATTACCGTACATGTTGGAAGTGGGCAAGCAGGATGGTCTTCATTGTCGTCTTCTCTCTCCTGCCCCGCAAAAAATTTAAAAAGCAAGGAATTATTGGAGCAGTTTTAATTTGCAGTACCTTTAGAATGAACTCTGAGGCTTTGAACTGTACTTTGAATAGAAAAATCTTGTTGAGTCCCTAACAGAGTTTCCTTGTTCTATCAATTCCTAATTATAGCAAATTAACATGCAGTATTGCAGTAGGTTAAGATGCATATGCACCCTTTTTTGTTATTCAGTTCAATATGGGAGTGGCTGTTCTGGCAAGGCATTCTTACATTTACAAGGAGAGACAGACAGCTAAAGTTCTGAACACTTTCATTGTTTGGGAGATGAAAAAATGAAGAAAATCCTCCAAATACTTAGTACAAGCCAGAAAAATATATAGCTGAAAGTCACATTGTTTAGCATAATGCCGGCTTTACATAGAGGCATTTTAGGAACTGGGCTTTGGATTTTGAGTGGCAATAGCATATGAACCCCCTGCACTGTTTAAACAGTGCTATTTTTGGCATCTGGGTGTTGGCTTGTCTGCCCAGCAGCCTTGAAGTGAAGTGGGTATATGCAGTAAAGAGCTCACAGTTCCGGGACTTGTAAAAGGCAACATAAAAATGGGTTGCTGTTTCAGTAAAGAACTCAACAGCAAGAATGAGAAGATGAGTCTTTTGCAAAAATCAACTGAAGAGGAGACGTCGGAACACGGGATAAGTAAAACTTTAACTTCCATTTTGGAGACCATTGAAAGAAAGGAGCTGCATGTAATCCAAGAGGCAGTTTCTGGAACACCTGCTATTCATAATAATTGCGTAGAGTCAGTTAAATATCCTTCAAGCCATTGTGCGGGGATCGCTGAAGGTGGCCACAACCCCAGTAGATCTTTTAATCTTTATCCACATAATGCAAGAAAGGTCTTGAATGGGTATGGCAGTTTACAAGAGTGCGGACGAATGGAAGATATGGATGGTGCTGAAAATCTTCCAGAAAGTAGCAGTAGTAATGTTCAATGTGTGAATAATGCAGGCAGCTACCATATTAATAGCAATAATGAAACAGGATCTACTGTAGCTGGAAAGCCATGCCGTTCATTTGAAAGTACTTCTTCATGTGTGCCGGTGGCTGTAAGCCAAGGAAGCATCTTCCCGAAAGCCTTAAGTACATGTGGAATAAAAGGCAAGCCAGTTATGGGTGAGTGCTTATTAGTGCAGGATGAAGTAGATTCTGTTAAAAGTAATTGTAGTGCAGTAGGTTCAGGTAGAGCAGACAGAGAGACAGCAGCTTCAAGCTTTGCATATCTTGATATTGACAGGCCCCGTATAAGTACCAGAGATGAATTCTACAGTATTTGTATAGTTGATGATGATCTGAGAATGGATCTAGAAGAAGGGCAAGCTATTGTGCACGGAGAGACTGCTTTAGAGGTAGAAAGTTCAGCTGTTCAGGAGATGTACAGTATGACATGGCCTGGGGAAAGTGGGAAGGAATTGTTAGTCCCGAAGAAGCCGGTTCAGGTGCCTGTTGACTTCAGTGCTCTGAAAGATGAATCTCCCAGTATAATAAAGGATAGTTTACTGATGCCAAAAAGTGAAATGGGGGTAAAAGCTCCAGTTGGCTTAGTGAATGGGGATCACAGGTTAAATACTGACAGAATAGCAGCAGATGTGTTAAGGGCACAAGCACATGGCGAAGATCTTACTAAAAATAGAACCCAGGAAATGAATATGGTAGATAGTAGTAGAATCTTTGTGAATGAATCACTTGGTGAAAACAACAATTCTCCAACACCTGTGCATTTGGAGAAAGGCATGAAATATTCTCTGCAATTAAAAAGCAGGACTCATGCATGGACTTCCTTTTTCAATAGTGAGAACAAATGTGTCACTGAAGGTGTAAAGTCTGAATCTAATGAAAATCAAAATACCGAAGGTGAAAACTCTAAACAGTTGTTGGGAAGCCTGAAGTTTTCATCAGAGTTTGAGCACACAACTGGTCATTTCCTCTCTGTAAGTCAAAATAACACAAAAAACCAAAGTCAAGTGAATAGGCCAAACTTTACAGGAAGCACAAATGAATTTTGGAGAGTATCTGCCTGCAATGATAAGAAAACCCCTAACTTTTCTGAACAGTTTAATCCGGAGCTACTCCTGAAATATGAAGATGATTCTGATCTTGGAACATTCTGCTCCCATGGGGATCTGAAAGAAAGCACCATTAAAACACTTCCAACATCAGAGAGTGTGGCTTTTGAAGCGGAAATACCCCATGTTTCAGAGTTTACCAGTTATGAAGCCGGCAGCTTTATAAGGGCTGCTCAGCAAAACCTGTCTCAAATAGATAACATACCTTCAGAGATGAGTGATTTGACAGAAGGATCATGGGGAAGCGAAGAGACATTAACTTTTTCTAAACCTCTTAATGTAAATGTAAATGAATATGAACGAATCCAAAATGAAAATTGCTTGGAAGTTCAAGTTCCACACAACCTCTCTAAAAAGGATGGCAAAACAAATGACTATTCCAGTTCACTTAACGAAGATAACAGCTGCTGTGTCTCTTTAGCACATTCTGAAGCGAGTGAGATGGATTTGAATGATGAACAATGCAAGCTATGGAACAAATGTACATTCCATAGACTGGAAGATCAGCTGAGTGCAGGGACTGACCCTCACAAATTAATAGCAACTGCAGAAGAGCCTGTAAATGGGTTGAAATGGGAAACACACCATGAAAGGAAAACACATAGTGAAATAGAAACCAAGGCAGATTCTGAAAATTTCACTGTTCAAGATGACTGTATGTTAAATGGCAATAATGATCTAATGCAAAAACTTAGAGTATCTTCAAATATGCAAGAGAGGCCTTTAGTTCTGGAGGAGTCTTTAAGTATCCTGCAGATTGATAAAGCTAATAGTCAGCTTGAAACAGAGAGACTTCCTGCATCAGTTGATGAAAGCGATGCTAGAAATGTAAAAATAGAAACTAGTCACACTGAGACATCTACCAGATCAAGGGGAGGGAAATCAGGATTCTACGAAAACAGCTCCTTACCCAAACAGAGTATAATGGAAACCATGTGCCCTCTTAGGCCTTTAATTTCTGAAGTTTCAATTCCCTGTGCAGATCTATTAACAGAAAGTGCAAAGGACTCTGCTCCCCAAAATGGCCAGCAGAAACTGAACGTTGAGGTGGAATGTGCTTCCAGATCAGATGCCAAAGACTCTCTGACTTGTGCTGATGCAGGTGGGATTTGTATTGACCCCAAGCAGGTAGACAAATATGCCGCTACTCCTTCGTACGAAATACCTCTGGCCTCTGTTAACGATCAAGAATGTGACCAAGGCAATGCAAAGCATGTATTGGATCTGATGGAAGATATATTAAAGGAATCTGATAACACACACAAAATGGATGTGGGCGATTCCCAAGGTGATCCGCTTTGTCCATCTGCTCCACTAAGTAGTTTGTTTTCATCTGCCAAGTTTACAGATGATCAGGAATATCTGATGGGATATTTGTGGATTAATTCATCTTTTAACAAAACGAATAGCTCATGCAATGCTAGTGAGGCGCTCCAAAATGAAACTGGCGACGTGACCATTCCTTCTTTTGAAATGGGAGGATACCCTTACCAGTTGCTAGTACAACAAAACAGTGATATCTGGGGATGGCAAGATAGAGATGAAGGATATGTAAGTATTTCATCATCATAATTTGATTCATCAGGCACTTTTAAAAAGAAGTTGCTGTAATCCAAGGTGAAGATTTTGATTTGATGTATGATATTCTAAAACTCCAGCAGTGTTTCCATTTGTTTGAGTTAAGCCACTGTCAATTGCTAAAATGGAGGCATACATAACAGCACATCTTGGTACCTGTGTTGTGGCAGGCATAGACATCTCTTTTGTTGCCTCTCATCCATCCCTAGCCTCTGAAGGTGGCCACAAAGTTGATATTTTACAACTTACTGTAACGTTCTCCCTAAAACAGATTGGAAAAATGCTTGGGTTAAATTTTAATACATTATTGATGAGCCGATTTTTATCACTGCCCTCAGAAGTTTGAACTTGGAAGTAAATAATTGTGTCCCTATACCTGCACTCCTATCTGAGAGCTGAAGGACGAGGATTTGAAAAAGCATCTTGCTACCATTACGTTGTAAAATTGCTTTTAGCCATTTGTGAGCAGTAGCTTTGTAACAGTGGTCGGGGTCTAATTGAGGGCACGTAAGTGAGCCTCACTCGAACGCAGGAGGACTTACTTCTGAGTAGGCTATGTATGGGATTGCAGTGCACATGTCTAGTCTGGGCAATCCCCCCCCCCCAAGCACTTGTGTGTAGAGAATTACTGTAGTGCTAATTTGGTTGCTGTAACTGCTTTGAACTTGGGCTGTTGCAGGATTTGCTGCCATGTTTCCATGTTGAATAGAGGGGTGCATTTCATTCATTTTTTTCCAGAGTTTCTTGGGGCACAGCTAACTGTTGGAAGCTGGACAGCACCAGCGCGCTTTCTCTTAATCCTTTTTTGGATTTGTGTTTTACTTTTCGTTGCTGCCTCTGGCAGTGGCAGCAGAGCTCCTCAGTGGCAGCCAGCCAGCAATATTATATCCCTGGAACATTGCTAAGCAAGAGGTAGCATTGTTTGATTGAGGCTGGGAGGACTATGGGGGGAATACTCCCAAGGCTCAAGTCCTATGCCCTGCTAGGATTAAGCTCCATCAAACACAGTGGGATGTGCTTCTGAGTAGACGTGTGCAAGATTGCATTGAAACTGAGGAGGGGAGTCTTCATCACCACAAACTTGAGCTGGCTATCAAGGCCAGCCAAAACTTTGATGGCCCCTGCCCTTTCCTAATGTAAAGGAAGACATTTCTCATAGAATCACACTGGTCAACAACAAATTTGTTGTCTGTGTTTTTTCAGTTGATTTAGGACGAATCTGATGCGCTGAATCCAAAAATCACATTGGTTTTGCTCAATCAGGTCAAGTTTTTGAGCTATGGCCACATGTCATTTTTTTACGTTTTTGTTCACATGTACGCTTGTTTGGAGCATTTTAGAAGAAGTTGGTGGGGGTAAAATGCCATGTCAAATAATTGTTTTGATTGGAAATGATTATTTTAATGACAAGAAGTATTCAGGTCCTATAGTTCTGGGTGATTATGTCGAAAAGGGATCAGTTTGAAGTCATAAAACCTCGAAATCTTCCATAAATTGGTGCAGCAAAGCATAAAGTTGGGGGATCAAAACTAAGTTAATGGGGCAGCTGCCCCACGAAGTGTATAGGAAACTCCACCCGCGCATGCGCCAACTTATGACTAATGACTTATGGGTGGACCAATAGCAAGAGGAGTCTGAACTTTGGAATTCCCATGGTTTGGAGGGAGCAGACAAACCATGTCATTGACTGCTACTTCTGCGCTGTTGATGTGACTGGGATCAACAGAAAGAACCAGAGCAGCCTCAAGTATCCTGATCTTCAATCAGCACGTTGTCCTGTAGCTCATTGTGATGAAATTCCAGTGCCTATCTTCGGAGAACTTCCTGACATTAGTGACGAAGATGCCTCCTGTGTTGAAGGACATGAAGAAGAAGAAGTGGTTCTTGAAGATGATGCTCCACATCCACTTTCCCAAAACGAGTTGAATGATCTAGTTCATGACCTCAGCTTGTCAAAGGACTCTGCCGAACTGTTGGCATCCAGATTGAAAGAAAAAAACCTCCTCTCTGACAGTGCTCGCATCAGCTTCTTCCGCAACAGGCATCAAGAGTACCTCCGTTTTTTCTTGGAAGAGAAGGACTTGGTGTACTGTGCAGATATTGCGCAGCTTCTGCTCAAGCTTGGAGTGCCACAGTAGGAACCCAAAGATTGGAGACTGTTCATTTACAGCAGCAAGCGATCACTGAAATGTGTTCTGCTACACAACAGCAACCAGTTTGCCTCTATACCCCTGGCTCACTTTAGTACACTGAAGGAGAACTATGAAGCGGTGAAGTATGTGCTGGAGAAAATTGGTTATGATCAGCATAAGTGGTTTATTTGTGTTGACCTGAAGATGGTGAACTTTTTGTTGGGACAACAGTCTGGCTTCACCAAGTACCCATGTTTTCTGTGCATGTGGGATAGTAGGGACCATGCTCAGCATTACACGAAGAAGGACTGGCCTGTGCAGGAAGAATTGGTGCCTTGCAAAGAAAGGAACGTCATCAATGACCCTCTGGTGGACAGAGACAGAATACTCTTCCCACCGCTGCACATCAAGCTCGGCTTAATCAAGCAGTTCACCAAGGCTCTGGACAAGGATGGTGACTGCTTCACTTACTTGTGCCAGGCTTTTCCAGGATTGACCATGGAGAAGTTGAAAGCTGGCATCTTTGACGGTCCTCAGATCCGTCAGCTCATCAGAGATCCAGAGTTCGGAAACTCAATGAACGAAGTGGAACAGGAAGCATGGAAGGCATTTATTCTGGTAATGAAGAACTTTCTTGGCAACAATAAGGCCAGAAACTACGCAGAACTTGTCAACAACATGCTGACTGCTTTCAGAAACCTGGGCTGCAACATGAGCGTCAAGATGCACTACCTATTTTCACATATGGACCGGTTTCCTGAGAACCTGGGTTCAATGAGTGACGAGCAGGGGAGAGATTCCATCAGGACATGAAAGAGATGGAGACCAGGTATCAGGGTCGCTGGGACGCAGTCATGATGGCTGACTACTGTTGGACTCTGAAGAGAGACCTCCCTGCCGCTGAGCATTCCAGGAGTTCCAAGAAACGGAGGTTCAAGCCCTGAAGTTTGAAAAATGGTGAAGCAACATGCAATTTACGTGTACTTACCTTTATCAATGCCCACCATTCAGTTTACAGTAATCAATGTTTCTATCAGGTAATCAATATATGTTGTTGGAAAAACATTTTTTTCTCTTAAAAACATATTTAGGATGATATATGTTGACAAAAATCAGCTGATAATGCCACAGAAATGTAATCGATTTTGTCACAAGATCTGATTTTTTTCAAATCAACATAGCACAAAAACCTGACCTGATGGAGAGAAACGGATGCCATTTCCTGATTCAGCAGTGCAAAAATACCCTAAATCATTTGTAGAAATCTAGACAACATTCAAAAGGTAAAAAATTGTTGCCCAGTGTCATAGAGTTGGAAGGGACCCTGAGGATCATCTAGTCCAATGCCCTGCAATGCAGGAATATGCAGCTGTCTCTTACAGGGATCGAACCTGCAACATTGGCATTGTCAGCACCATACCTACTGAGGTATCCAAGCTTAGATTTGTTTCTAGGTTTGTTGCTTAAAAACTATAGAGCAATGATGTTTGGAATCATAGAATCATAGAGTTGGAAGAGACCACAAGGGCCATCGAGTCCAACCCCCTGCCAAGCAGGAAACACCATCAGAGCACTCCTGACATACGGTTGTCAAGCCTCTGCTTAAAGACCTCCAAAGAAGGAGACTCCACCACACTCCTTGGCAGCAAATTCCACTGTCGAACAGCTCTTACTGTCAGGAAGTTCTTCCTAATGTTTAGGTGGAATCTTCTTTCTTGTAGTTTGGATCCATTGCTCCGTGTCCGCTTCTCTGGAGCAGCAGAAAACAACCTTTCTCCCTCCTCTATGTGACATCCTTTTATATATTTGAACATGGCTATCATATCACCCCTTAACCTCCTCTTCTCCAGGCTAAACATGCCCAGCTCCCTTAGCCGTTCCTCATAAGGCATCATTTCCAGGCCTTTGACCATTTTGGTTGCCCTCCTCTGGACACGTTCCAGTTTGTCAGTGTCCTTCTTGAACTGTGGTGCCCAGAACTGGACACAGTACTCCAGGTGAGGTCTGACCAGAGCAGAATACAGTGGCACTATTACTTCCCTTGATCTAGATGCTATACTCCTATTGATGCAGCCCAGAATTGCATTGGCTTTTTAGCTGCTGCGTCACACTGTTGGCTCATGTCAAGTTTGTGGTCAACCAAGACTCCTAGATCCTTTTCACATGTACTGCTCTCAAGCCAGGTGTCACCCATCTTGTATTTGTGCCTTTCATTTTTTTTGCCCAAGTGCAATACTTTACATTTCTCCCTGTTAAAATTCATCTTGTTTGTTTTGGCCCAGTTCTCTAATCTGTCAAGGTTGTTTTGAAGTGTGATCCTGTCCTCTGGGGTGTTAGCCACCCCTCCCAGTTTGGTGTCATCTGCAAATTTGATCAGGATGCCCTTGAGTCCATCATCCAAGTCGTTGATAAAGATGTTGAATAAGACCGGGCCCAAGACAGAACCCTGTGGCACCCCACTAGTCACTCTTCTCCAGGATGAAGAGGAACCATTGATGAGCACCCTTTGGGTTCGGTCAGTCAGCCAGTTACAAATCCACTGAGTGGTAGCATAGTCAAGACCGCATTTTACCAGCTTCTTTACAAGAATATCATGGGGCACCTTGTCAAAGTTTTGCAGCAGTTATTACCGCTAAGGTTGTTATTAAGAGAGATAACACATGTCTTGTTATGTTTGTGGTTTTGTCTTTATTTTGAAAGGCAGGCAAGAGCCAAAATGGTCACAATTTATTGTGGAAATTATCCTAGACATAAATTGCTCATAACGATACCAATCGTGCAAGCCTTAATTCTTCAAGGGAATTATTGTGTAAGGGGAATTGTTGCACAAATACACCCATCTTATCATTGTTAGGATATTTCCGTTCCACCTTAAAAGGGAGCAGGCTGTGAGTCACAGAGTCTGCGTATTTCCTGTTCACAGGATGTTTATGTTTTCTGTTGCTTTCGTTTCTCTCTCTGTCGTAGACACTAAAGCAGGCAGTCATGTTTTTCTGTGTTCTGATCAACGTTGAATAAACTTGTAAATAATGCTCTCCTGAGTGCAACTTTTGGCTGTGCGATATCTGCTTATAGAGTGTGCATGAGCTCTGGAATGTGGCAAGCTATTTCTAGAAACTCATGTCACTAATTGTTGATACTGCGTGACTACGGGAGATCAATGGATCGTCCGGCAGCCGGCTTGGGGGCCATGATGGACTTTGTCTCCCTGGCAGTATCCCAACAATCATAACCACATGATTAGAAGATTGTAAAGCATGCATTGCAATAGGTAGCTAGTTCAATCATTTATGACATGATGGAAATCTAATCTTATAGTGCCATCATCTTTGAGGACATTTTCATAGTTGTACAGTATAAGCTATGAATCCTTCTTCATACCTTGCCTCAGCCCATGGGCTTGCTAGGGAGCCTTAAGAAAACTCGTATCAATCGCTTTCTTTCCCCCTTCCTCTGTAGTAAGAATATGTTTGGACATTCCCTTACAGAACTGGTTCAAAGATTATGGAGTTAACATCCGCTTTTGATCTTGCCAATGCTTAGATTTACGTTTACCTTTACTATGGCTCCTTTTTTTATATATATAATGTTTGTTTACTGCTCTGGCATGGCAGAAGGAACATTGCCTTCTATTTTTTACTAACCACAGCTTAGCCTTAAGTCTGAATCTGGACAACCTGCAGTTAATCTTAACTATGAAGCCTGTATTTTTTTAGTAAACTACAGTTAAAATTAACCACAGTTTAGGGCTCAGATATAACACTAAACTGGGGTTGTTGTTGTTATTATTATTTATTTAAAAAAACTGATAGAAGCTGCTAGTCTCCTCATAGTTACACCCAGGCATGGGAAAGTGTGCGGATCCAAGGCTCACACAGGCGGCTCCTCCTAATGCTAAACCATGGAGGGAGGTAGCGCATGAATGTCAGACTTGCACAGCCTCATATTGGTAACACTAAAATGTGATTTAGTGTAACCATGTGTATGCAGCCACTGTTGAAAACCAGTTGGATGTCTCTATTTGGTGGGGAAAGTGGAGTATAAATCTGATCATAAATATAAATGAAGCCTGGGTGGTAACTTTCATAAATGGAACAGATCTTTCCTGACTCCTACCTCCTGCAGCTTCATGTAGTCTCATCCCAATTGAGTTGGGTCCTTTGGGAAAGGTGTAAGATTATTTTTTTGGGGGGGGGGGACTGCCGATGGAGGAGAGACTTGTCGGAAATACCTCCTTACAAGAGTACAACAACTTGGAATCTAAGACAACTGATGTCACTTCTTTGAATATTCCAAAGAGCTATACAAATGATAAATGTGGATGAATTTGCCTTGACAAGTAATGTAGGTTGAGTTTACATAAGCACCGAATGGTCTCTAGCCGCAAGAACTCTTATTCCACTGCTGTATATCTTTTAACCATTTGTGAGTTGCATTTATAATAAGGAACCACGTAAAATGACAGGCATTTAGTTAACAGAGCGTAACTCAATTGTTATTTCCTAGGAGTCGGCCAAGGTTTCTGAACTAAATCCTAATGCAAAAGTATGGGGGAATCATATGTTACATGTGGAAGCAAGCGGGGCTAATGATGGTGGCGTGAGCAAAACCTGGGAAGAAATAGCAGATCATCCACCAGATTCCTGCAAAGAAGGTACGATTCTAGCTGAGTGTGCTGGTCCTCTGAGCCTTTTCTTTCTAATTTAAAGCAGGTAAAGAATTTCTTGGTTTGTGACTCCTGCAACTTTTCCTGCAGGGTTGGAGGCCAACGGTGATGGTGACAAAAAGCACCAGAATGAATCGTTAACAGAACTGCAAGAACCATCACTGGCAGCTCCACTGTCAGACCAGACAGATATGAACCCTTTGGCTCTAGATCATTCAGAGTATGAATCTATACACGAAAACACTCAGACAGGTAAGAAAGAGGAGGCTTCCTTGTATGTTTTTAAAATGGTTTTCCAACTTACAAAATGACCCCCAGTGTTTATCCTAAATATGTCTTTGACAGGAACTTATAAATTACAAGCTACTGAAGAAATTTACCTGAGCAACACTGAATTATAGGCATTGCTACAGAAATGATTAAACAGTAACAATAGTTGCTTGTAGGAATCCTTGATGCATAGTCTGAAATAAGTAGTGCCTATTAATGTAACAATTTTACCAGCACATTTGCATGTATTTATATGTGGGGCTCAGGCTGCTTCATTTAGGACAAACCACTGTTTGCCCCCGGGCTTGTGACTACAGTACATTTAAAGAAATACCAGATTGATCATGTGTACAATATTTTAAATGTTCAATCTCATCTCCGTCATTAAAAAACAATCTAAACTTTGAAGTCTCAACAGCCCAGACAATGCTAGGAACTTTGAACCTTCAGTGTCTTGGGTAGTGAATATATTTACTAGATGAACTGAGTATTTTATAGGATCACAGGTTGTAGTGTTGACATGTTATCTTGGAAGTCTAAGTTGTATAATGAAAAGTGCCTACAGTGCATAATTCAGGAGTAGTACTCTAGTTCCCACCATCCCTGACCATCGGCCATGTTTATTTTAAATTTTTTTAATGAAGATTGTGTTCTTTGGCAAAGGCAAGAAAAGCTGAATGATTCACATTATGCACGTTTTATTTGCATAATTCAATAATTCTGCTTTTGCTGGTTACAGAGAAAGACAAACTATGCAGGGCATTAAATCTGCTCACTGTGCAACCCACACATGACATTGCCTACATGGTATCAATACTCCACAATCTCAGGGCCAGAAACTTGCTCTGCAGACTTCTGCAGATAGTGTCAAATACCGTGTTTGCAGGGTGTGAACATAGGATTTCAACCAATGGACAGCTCTAAAATTTTTATGCAGTATATAGACTGAGGATAGATACCACCTGCCTGGGGTACTTTCTGTTTTAAACTAATGTTATTGGGGAAACCTAATAACTCGTCTAGGGAAGTCACATTGCACAAGCATTTTTCTGTTGTGCAAACAGGCAGATATCATTGGATGTTGTTCAGTGCAGCCTAACACTATAATTCTTGTGTCATTGTTTCTGAGTCCAGAAAAGAAACTTTTCAAAACATTATATAATTCTCTTATCCATCTTAATCAATTTGGAGCTCCCTGCTGCTTTTTTCCAACTGATAATCTAAGTTTTTACTTAATAGAATATTAATAATAATAATAATAATAATATATTTATACCCCACCCATCTGGCTGGGTTTCCCCAGCCACTCTGGGCGGCTTCCAACAAAACACTAAAATACAATAACCTTTTAAACATTAAAAGCTTCCCTAAACAGGGCTGCCTTTAGATGTCTTCTAAAAGTTTGGTAGTTATTTTTCTCTTTGACATCTGGTGGGAGGGTGTTCCACAGGGCGGGTGCCACTACCAAGAAGGCCCTCTGCCTGGTTCCCTGTAACCTCACTTCTCGCAATGAGGGAACTGCCAGAAGGCCCTTGGCACTGGACCTCAGTGTCCGGGCAGAATGATGGAGGTGGAGACGCTCCTTCAGGTATACTGGACCGAGGCCGTTTAGCAAAAAGAATTTAGCTCGTGTCTGCTGCAACGTCTGATGGCAAGAATTTCCATTGTAGTACCAAACACAATGTTGGCTCATACACTTGCTGTTAAAATTATAATGAATAATGCAACTTTCTTACATAAGAGTTTCATGTTGGTCTTTGTACTTTGAAGCTAACAAATGAATATTTTTTTCATATTATATCATGGTGCTATGCACATATTTCAAACTGCTTTCTCCACAGTAATATATTTCAAGTTTTAAAGATGACGTTTGAGATACTTGTCTGCATTGAGTGTGTAAAGGGTGTACATAACAGAGCAGAAAAAATAAATACTAGAGGCCTTCTTGATAGCTTCCAGATATATAAAAATATATTCCTGTTCAAATATTTACATATTTTACATCACCCTTATTTCTTAAAAGCTATTGCAACTGGAAAGGAATCCTAACTAATTTGTCAGTTGTTTATGTATTGATGGTTATATAAAATGATTGTTGCTCGGCTTTTCAATGGAGCCAATCTTTTCTAATGAGATGGGGTGGGTAGACTGTGGATGCAAGCAACCCTTATGTGTGTCTAAGCTCCACCAAAGTTTCTGCTGAGTCCGTATATTTAGGATCAGGTGCAAGATACTCTTTGTGTCATGAGTTGATATGAAGGGTACTTTATTTAACCTCTATTGCCATTGCGAATAAGGTGACCTTTGACACTTGAAGGAAATGTCTTTTTATGAAGGCTTGGTTTCCCCCCTGACTTTGTCAAACTCATGTCTTCCATTTCTAGGAGGTAAAGAACAGCTGCAGTCAGAAGGTCAGGAAGACTTGCGAGAAGTATTGAAAAAAACACTGGAGTTCTGTTTATCTAGGTAAGCATAACATGTATTCAGTAGTGACCACTCATGCTGTATTTATTTAAAGCATTTTTGTTGGTAGCAAGAAAAATAGAGATATATACAAAATAGAATTCTTAGATGCCAATATCCAGGTTTGGGGGAAAATATTCTTGCAAAATATGCAGCAAAGCAAAGCAAAATCTGCAGCATAGAGAGAGACCACTCATTTGATAAGTTAAAAAAGGTTGATTTATATACTCACAAAGGACAGGTCCATGTGCTTTTCCATGCAGCATTCAGTAAAGGTTGCACAGGCATTAAAACGTGGCTTAGTTATACTGGTGAAAGTTCCTAAATTATTGGTGTAGGAATTTAAGAGAGACCTGTTAGAGTGATTGCTTGGAGCAAGCAGCTCAGATCTCCCAAATTGAGCTTCTCAAGTAGACTGTGAGGTACAGCGATAAGGCTTGATTACATTCCTCCCAGGTTGGAGGGGAGTGACATAGCTAAGCCTGCCAGGCCAGCTTACTCTATGGCATCAAACCCTTCATGCATTAATTAGACTTAAGCATGTTGGTTATCCCACATTTTTATCCCGTTCTTCATAACAGAAAAGAAAAAGGCTTCCAGAGCAGTTTACAGATATTTGCCTTTTAGGATGATAGGTTAAGTCATGTGTGAGGAATCTTTGCCCTTTCAGATGCTGCTGAGCTGCAACTCCCGATCAGCTCTAGTGAGCATGGCCAATGGGCAGCGGGGATGGAAGGGCAGTTCAGCAATATCCGGAGGGACACATGTTCTCCACACCTGGCTTAAGTAATCATTACTATGGAATAAGTCACTTCCCATTTTCACTGCTAAGTGTTAACACAGGGAAAAGTGTTGTGGCATCTGGATTTAATAGAAGTTCATTATCCATATATGAAGTGGGCTCAGACCTTGAGAAGCATGGGAAGGAACCAAAATTCTACAGAGTAAATCCATAGGGAATCTATTAATTTTTTTCTCAGTTAAATATGTAATTTGTTTTTCTTCTTGCTTTGCTAATTTACATACTAAAGCCTGTCAAGATAAGTTGGTTTTTTAAAAAAACCAAAGCTGCCACTCACTCATTCTATCTGCAGCCAGGTTTGTTTACAGTGCTTTAGAAAACAGTAACTATTGAGAATAGACTTAAGTCAGTTGTGGCTTGTCATCTGTAGCAGGAAGGTGGGGTTTTTTTGGGGGGGGTGGTTGGCACTGATACCGCCTGTATGCTGATTGTTTAATGTATGGAGCTGCTTGGCTGTTGGAAATCTTAACTGAGCTATTTTCAAGACCAAAACTTCAAATACTATCCATGCATGAGCCTCTGTGACCCCATACTTCATTTGATGGGAGATAAAATATACCTCTCAACATCTGGAGATGACAGCTGGATAGCTCAGCTGGTTAGAATGTGGTGCTGATAACACCAAGGTTTTAGGATTGATCCCAATAAGAGACAGCTGCGTATTTCTGCATTGCAGGGTGTTGGACTAGATGATCCTTAGAGACCCTTCCAGCTCTACGATGTTTTGAACAAACCTTGTCTGTGTGTGAGCTATAGAGCTAAACTCAGCGCACCAGCTACATAGATTCATAGAATTGTGGAGTTGGAAGGGACCTCAAGGGTCATCCAGTCCAACCTAAAGTGGCCTATTATGGACTTGATGGATCTTTTTGCTGTTCTGTTTCCCTAGCGCTGTAAAACAGGTGGGCTGCATCCAGTTTGGTGCACCTTATGTTGAAAATCCCTGCTTCTCTCTCTCTCTCTCAACCCAAGCAACAAAGCTAAGATAGTTTCATAGGTAGCTGTTTCCTTCACTCTAGTAGCAAAGGGAATTTTAAGTAAATACATGACAGTTCCTTAATACAGTCATACCTTGGGTTAAAGACACTTTGGGTTGCACAATTTTGGGTTGTGCACCGCGCCAAACCCGGAAGTACCGGAATGGGTTACTTCTGGGTGTTGGCGCATGCGCAGAAGTGCTAAATCACGCTTTGTGCATGCGCAGAAGCGCCGAATCGCAACCTGCACATGAGCAGACGCAGCACTGCGGGTTGTGGACGCTGCGGGTTGCAAATGTGCTTTCCGCACAGATCACATTCGCAACCCGAGCGTCCACTATACATAGATGTTGATCGATAAGAAAGTCAAATGCAACTTTTTCGCTTGTGTAAAGATAAAGAAAGGAGTTTTATAATGAAGACTCTGCTTTCCTTCAACAGAGAGAATCTTGCCAGTGACATGTACCTTATATCTCAGATGGACAGTGATCAGTATGTGCCAATAATGACAGTAGCAAACCTTGATCACGTCAAGAAGCTGAGTACTGATATGGATTTGATTGTTGAAGTGCTGCGATGTAAGTAATTGACAAAGCACCTATTTTTGACTTGAAGATGAATAGTGAGTTTTTGTTCTGTGAGGTGCATAGCATTGGGGGAGGGTTGAAGCCAGTGGGTGAGTGCAACATTTAGAAAACTGTACTTAAATGGCAATAAACCTGTCATAGCAGTAAATTCATGCTTGCAGGGAGGGACCTGCCATTTAATCTTCTGTTTTATACAATAGATTTATTGGAGAATGCCCCTCTGTCAAACTGCTCGACTTGGGTATCCTAATGATACTGCTGAGGCTTTCTGCATTGTTGCAGTTAAATGTATATTCAGTATGTGGCTTGTTTAGCTTCAGCCACTACAGGCTTTTCTAAGTGGAAGTTCTCCATGGTTGGTTTCAAAAGATACCTAACAGGTTTCTGCTCCAGCACACTATTTGCAATTTTTATTTAGCAGTTTACTAATTAAACCTGTCAAACGTAATTTTTTTGTACCATGGCTAAAGTATTTGAAAGTAATTACCATTGGTGTGAGGCAGTTTGGAATCTGATAAGTGAAGTGCTTGATTGTCACTCCTGGTGATTTGTTTAGTGTAGTACCAAAGAGTAGTATTGGAATGTACACTCTTTCATTTCAAAGTGGGGAAAAGGGCCATACAAGATGGACTTTCTAACAGAATAAGACTGGTAGGAGTGGGTTCCCCCCTCTGAAAGGCTTCACTAAGAGGTGTGGTGAACACTCCAGGAGCCAAACTGGTTTATTTCAATTAGGGGCTTGAAAGATCTTTCCCAAAGTAAGATGTTTGCCTGGGAGACTTGACTGGCATGTGCCACGTTTGTACACATTTATTTACAAACGGGAGATGAATAAGGTAACAGATCTTACTCTAGTCCTACAAAACTGCAGTGTGTGCAAAACAAAGCCTTGCTTAACTGGTTGAATTCTAAGTAACTGTGTTGTATGTGTCTTCCCTTAGCATTGCCTTTAGTCCAAGTGGACGAGAAGGGTGAAAAAGTCAGGCCAAACCAGAATCGCTGCATTGTGATTTTACGTGAAGTACCTGAATCTACTCCAATTGAAGTAAGTTCTGCATACAGCAGTCAAACGATTCACAACATGCTTAAAAAAAAATCCCACCCACCTTGGTTCTATATGGCTACAGCTTTAATTGTGACTCTCTCTCAGCTATCACTTGTGGCCAAGTAAGCTTTTCTTCCATATAATATTTTCCAAGTAAGATTTTCTTCCATATAATTGTGCATTCATGATATCACTCACAACTTTATAAAGCATACTAGGAAAACAATCCCACACTAAACCAATAACTAAATACCTGTTTAAAAGAAAATATTGAATTGCCACTGAGATGCCATTTATACCTTGTCAGAAAGACGTTTCTGGAGCTTTCAGACAGTGAGTGCCTCTCTACATGCTTCCACCATAAAGTTAAGGCTGCTCCTGGAAGACAGATTCCAAATCAATAAATGTAGAGCAATGGACAACATTTTGAGTGGGGTGTTCTAACTAGCTCACTGACAGCAGAAGAGATCAAGGAGGTTGAATAAATGCTCTTTGAAGAGAAAGGGATGTTTTAAGAAATCAAAAAAGTAATATTGGTGTTCATATGCAGAGTGATATTAACAGGAAAACACAATTTCCTGAGTCATAAAGTTTGACTTAGGAACGTCAATCAAGGGTGTATCTGCTGTTAATCTGTTAACTGAAGGTGAACACAGTATGTCTTTGTATTTACAGTTCATTGGGTAGTATCTGAACTGTACTGGAATAGACCCAATTGAAATCAATGGACTTTAAATTAGTCATAGGTGTGACTTAGTCAGGTGCCACCCTGAAATTGTTTAGGCACCAACATCAAACCTTTAGGTGGCAGCCTTTGCATAGCTGAAAACAAATCAGGTCCCTGGAATGATGGGACAGTGTCAGTACCCTGCTCCATAGCCCTTTTTTGTTGAAATTAAGGATAGTCAGTTCTAATAAGGCCGTTACATTGCTTGGTCCTAAATGAACCTTCTGTTGTACTTGTCAGTGAACCCTCTTTCCCACCAATCTTTTCTTAGGAGGTCGAAGAACTCTTCAAGGGAGATAACTTGCCTAGGTTCATCAACTGTGAGTTTGCCTATAATGACAACTGGTTTATTACATTTGAGTCTGAAGCAGATGCACAGCAGGTAGGCTCTCACTTTTTTGTTGCGCATATTTAGTTTGTGTTAGTTATCGGTTTTGGAGATTGATTACGGTGACTCTTGACTGAGGTGGTGTGAACAGACCTCCACAAACAAAGTTGGTCCATAATACAATGTTCATGTAAGAAATGGCTGGAAGACATCATATAGTTGCACAGAACAGCAGCCTTCATAATTCAGAGAAATTCATTGTTGTCTAGTCATGGTTTCCATAATTAAGTCTAGAATCCATGTACTTCTTGGAAATTTTAAATCCTACTAAAAGCAGTGATTCAGCCAACTGCTGTTTTTTTGAAATGGAGTAAGTAGCTTCCTGCTGCCATCTTTACTATGATTTTACTATGATTTTAGTACCACATATGATCATTGCCAAGCAGGGTTAAAATGAAACCTGATAATGCCTCTGACCATATGCTGAGGCTATATGTCTATAATCCAGTATAAACCTGAATTGGACCCAAGTATTCTTAAATAGGGAAGAACTGATATTGTTTGTGTTAGTATCTGTGTGTGCATAATGATATACTTTTTCTTGTTAACTTACTACATCTGCTGCCTTTCACACAAACTTATTTTTCACTCTTAAAGGCTTATAGATACCTTAGAGAAGAAGTGAAAACCTTCCAAGGAAAACCAATTAAGGTAAATATGTTTTGTTTTTAGTGTTCACTGAAATACTTCTGAAAGTGGTCGTCGTTCTCTAAGGCTGATTCTTCTAAGAGCATGTTCTTCTGTCTTCTAGGCAAGAATAAAAGCAAAGGCTATAGCTATAAATACATTTTTGCCAAAGAATGGATACAGACCTCTGGACATGAACATCTACACACAGCGTTATACAACATCATTTTACATACCTCCAGTATACAGCCCCCAACAGCAGTTTCCACTGTACAGCTTAATTGCCCCACAGACGTGGTCAACAACACATAGCTATCTTGATCCATCACTGGTAAGCACTTCAGAATCATTCCTTTGTTGCTTTTTAAATGTTCATGCTGTTGCTTAGTCTTGAATATAACCGGGGCATACTAGATTCAGTTTATAGCTCCATAGTAACTGGTGTACTTCCTGAATCTGTTTTACGTACTCTTACTTCTCAACCCATATATTAGCATTACGCCATGTTCCTCATTTTTAGATAATTTTGTAGCAGCAAGTCGGAGTAGCTAAGGCCAATGAGAAAGGAAGCCCCTTGAATTTTTTGAATTCTGTTAAATCCCCTTCAGTGTAAATTGAAGTGATGATAGGAACTAAGGACTTGATTATTTATCCTCATAATCTTAAGACCAGGTGTTACGCTCAAGCTACTTATTAAGTAAAATTGCAGGGCAGAATCCTCATTGCATTTCAGACTTCCAAGCTACAAGCAGTGCATAAGAGGTTTTGACCTCAGCCTCTCCCTTACATGCTAACTTTCTGCAGACACAAAATGTTTTTTATGTAAAGGAGCAATTGGTTTGAGACATCCACGGCAGTTGACTGTACATCCAGAATACATAGGTCTTACGAGGAAGTATGCTTCATTCTCCTTCCTTTTTGCAATCCAGTGGCCCCAGGCACATGTTGAATATTCTCCATGCAGAAGGAAGATGGGTAATTTGGAAGAGAAAATTGGTTGAGACACAGGACTGGGCTGTTTCTGATCATAACCTCACTTCTGATGAGTACTTCAGATAGTTTCCTTGGAATTCATGAAAACTGTCCAGAATACCCATATTTTTTGAGAAGCCATAGCATAAGCATAACACTTGGGTCAGAGATAAAAGGCAAAAACATAAAATAAAAATGTTAAGTACATAGCTGTCAACTTACAGATTTGAAAATAAGGGACCAGCAGTCTTGAAAATAAGGGACCAGCAGCCAAAATAAGGGACCTGCAGCCTCACCTGTTCCAGGCACTCCAGTCTTCCTGTCCTCCTGCAGTCTGGTCAAACTCATGCTGGTAGCTTCGAGAACACTGTCCAACCAACTTTGTAACCAGAGGTTCAACTGAATAGAATCTGAATCACATGCACCACAAGGCCTATGCAGCCTCAACTTAAGATGGCTCCCCGGCCTGGCTTTGCACTGCAAAGTTTGCAGCAGCACGTGCAACAAAATGACACCCAACATTCAAAAAACCCCTCAGCTTGCATTAACTAGCCACACACAAGGCATGCAAGCTCCACCCCCCAGTCGTTCTTAGACTTCTTATTGGGTGAGCAACACAGCCAAGCAACACAGTTGGAGCCTCCCTCCTCCCTGGCCGGCAGGGAGGGAGGGAGGGAGAGGAGCTGCTTCCTTTGAAATTTAAGGGACATTTAAGGGACATCCATCAATAAGGGACAGCAGCGGGACATGGCGCTGGAATAAGGGACTGTCCCTTCAAATAAGGGACACTTGACAGCTATGTAAGTATGCCTTTTTGAATGCCAGCTGCTGGGAATCACAAGTTGGGGGTGGGATGTACTCAGATCAGGCTTTCAGGTCTCCAAATGCTTCTGGTAACCTCTAGGTTAGATTACTGCAACACATTGTACATGGGGCTGTCTCTGAAGACAGTTCGGAAACTTAAGCTGGTGCAGAATTCTGTGGCCAGGTTGCCTACCGGAGCAAGACAGTTTGAGCATATTACACCAATCTTGGCCTGACTGCACTAGCTGCCAATTATTTTCTGGGTCCAATTCAAAGTGCTGGTTTTGACCTATGAAGCCTTAAACAGCTCAGGGCCACAATTATGTCAAGGACCGCAAACCCGGGCCTTGCAATCATCATCTGAGGCCCTTTTTTCATGCTCCCCCTCCATAAGAGGTCCAGAGGATGGCAACACAAGAGCAGGCCTTTTCTGCGGTGGCTCCCCATCTGTAGGATGTTCTCCTCAGGGGGGCTCACCTGGTGCCTTCATTACATATCTTTAGGTGCCAGGCAAAAACATGACTCCATAACCAGACCATTTCAATGTGTGTTTGGCAGGGTGATTATTGCTTTGCTTTTGTTTTATTTAGTATTTTGTGTTCTCATTTTGTATTTTTATGTTGCGAACCACCCTGTGATCTTCTGAGGAAGAACGGCATACTAAATAAATTAACTAACTCAACTGGCTTGCCACTGTGAGGACTGGATCCTGGTCTAGCTGGGCTACACACCTGAGCCAGCGAGTGCTGATCTTAATGTAAAAATCAGTCCTGTGAGGTCATTTCAAGAACTCTTGAGAGTCTCTTAAATCTACAGCTGTGTAACTTGCAGTACTTCTGTTCCATAGGTAACACCGTTTCCAAATACTGGATTTATCAATGGTTTTACATCTCCTACTTTCAAGCCTACTACTTCTCCACTGACTTCACTCAGGCAGTATACTCCCAGAAGCAGGCAAGTTCTGGAGATAAGTTTTCATCTTTTGCGCTAAGTTATATATGTCATGGGAATCTGTTGGAATGGCATTTGCCAGGAGTATGCATCACTTTGGGATGTTCACTTCTCTTGAATACTGTGGCCTGTCCTCACTTTATAATTGTATAAAGAACCATTACAGTGGTACCTCTGGTTATGAACTTAATTCGTTCCGGAGGTCCATTCTTAACCTGAAACCGTTCTTAGCCTGAGGCACCACTTTAGCTAATGGGGCCTGCCACGCCACCGGCACACGATTTCTGTTCTCATCCTGTGGTAAGGTTCTTAACCTGAGGTACTACTTCCAGGTTAGCAGAGTCTGTAACCCGAGGTGTTTGTAGCCCGAGGTACCACTGTAATTGGTTTTTTTTTATTTTTAAAAAACCCAGACCTTAATTACAACCCTGGGTTATGTTAATGTTACAGTAGCAATTTGAACAATTGATTAAGGGAAGTGGCCTACGCGACCTCCCCAAATGGAAATCTATGCTGCTAGGAGGAATAATAATTTGACAAGAATTGCAGGCGTTTTGTCTTCATGAAGTGCTGTGGCCACAGATGCGGCAGGCTTCTTCTAAAAGAGACATTGTTGGCTTCTAGAGCCAGAAGAACTGAACTACATGAATGTGAAGCGGTGGGAGGAGAGGGGATGATGGCTGGGGGGGAGAATAGAGTCAGTCCTGCAGCTGCAAGGTATTTAATATCCCCAAGGGCAGGTACGTATAGAATGACCGCTCTCTCTTGACTGTGGTTGAAAGATGGGAACGGACCGTAAAATCACATACAGTGGTACCTCGGGTTAAGAACTTAATTCGTTCCAGAGGTCCGTTCTTAACCTGAAACTGTTCTTAAGCTGAAGCACCACTTTAGCTAATGGGGCCTCCCGCTGCTGCCGCTGTGCCGCCACTGCGCAATTTCTGTTCTCATCCTGAAGCAAAGTTCTTAACCCGAGGTACTATTTCTGGGTTAGCGGAGTGTGTAACCTGAAGCGTCTGTAACCCGAGGTACCACTGTACCTCTACCCCAGAGTAAATTCCACCCTCCCATCTTATCCACTGGTCCAGGCTAACCAGACAGAGAGTTAACCACAGTTAAGATTGATGCCAAGATCTCCGTCGTGGTTAAGGTGGGCGGAGCGCACATTCTCATGATGGAAGCCATTGCATCTACAGAAACACCATATAAATAGACTTTGTAGAAGTAAATGTATCTTCTTTGTAGAAGATAGATTTTGAGAAGAAGACAATTGTTACAACTTGTCCTGATAAAAGTACAGACCTTTGTCATGTTATGTAATAAAGTTTCCTTTGATTGCTCTAAAAGATCACGCCACATTTTCCCATGAGTGTTGGGTGGATTCCTGCCACAGCCTGAACAATTTATGTATTCGGTAAACATTTGCCTTATGCTATAAAAGGAATAGCCTTTAGAAAGTTCTTCAGCGAGATTCTGGAAGTTGTCTGCAGATTTTGCATGATGGTTTAAATTACGTCTTTTGTTTCTCCCCCAGAAATCCCAGCAAATCACATCTACGGCATACAATACCCAGTGCGGACAGAGGGCCAGGACTTTTAGAGAGCCCTACAATATTCAATTTTTCTGCTGACCGCTTAATCAACGGTGTCAGGAGCCCGCAAACAAGGCAACCAGGGCAAAACAGGACACGGATGCAAAGTACGACAAGTTATACCAAGCGCGAAGTGGGCAGTGGGCGAGTAGAGCCTGCTGCTTTAGACTCATCCCCAAGCTTAGGTAGAGGAAGGTGAGTACTGGAACATTTATTAAGCACTTTTGTTGACTAAGTACTGCTCAGAGCTCAATTAAATCATGTGTTTCCACCATGTGGGAGTAATGAAAAGTGGAAGATGAAACCCCAGGTGAGGAGGGAGAGTGAATTGCGGGGAAAGAGAAAAGAACATAACTTTTAAAAGCATTTTTTAAAAGGGGTTTTGTATAAATGAGAGGCTGGGAAAGAAATTCCACAGATGAGGTGCATCTAAGAAAACAGGCGTGCAAGAACTGAGAAGATGCTTACTAACAAAAAGATTAGAATCTGTATTGACACAAAGAATTGGCAGACTGAAGTGAGTGGGAAGATTTCTGATGGCTACATAAAGAGGACTGCAACAGTTTGGAATGCTTCTAGGGCAATGAGTCCAAGAGAGGGAAATAATTGCTTGTAGAAAGAGGCATTAACATGATGACAAGTCGAAGTGAAGAAGTACTGAACTAAAAGAAGAAACATCTGGTTGCGAAAGTGTTTTGGTGTTAAACTAGAGTCCATATCAAAATATGGCAAACTATATTCAATCTAATAACATATTTCTGTTGCTTTAGTTGTTATATAACTATTTACAATTTGGAAGTTGCAATTTAGCTTACTTATTTATCCTGGCTGCCTTCGGTTATGGAGTCCAAGACACTGCTCATGTGGCTCCCATGCAGGTACTGGCTAGGCTGAGACCTGCTTAGTTCTACCAAAGTGGTGACCTCATTGGCCTTCAGACCTTGCCCTGGGATCCTAGAACCTTTGTTGCTTGGTGCTCTGTGATGACAGGGAGAAATTGTGCTCAGAATGAAGACCGCAAGCTGGCTGCATCTGGTCTTTTCAGGAACACTAATACTTTATTTGGTGGGGGTCAGTTGATATTGCACGGGCTAGGGACAAGAATTTTAAACTCAGTAAGGAAGACCAGCCAATGAAGAACTGGAGGGCACAAAAGACATATTAATAATCTGCCAAACATTCCTTTTGGTTTCTAAGCCTTCAGCCAGAGTGGTGAAACTGGATATGTGGGGGGTGGGGGGGTGTTTTTGTAAGAGATGTTTTTTAGGAAGCCCAATTCCTTGCCAGAAATGTATTTCTGTGCTGCTTGAATGGTCTGAATAGGCATGGCTTTCTGTGTGTGCCATCATTGCAATGTAAATGCTTATTGGACCTTGCACTTCATTAGCATTGATAAGCAGTGGTTTTCAACTTTTCCTCTTGTTTGCAATAGTAGTGCTCTGGCCACCTTTTTATTTTACTGCAAATCTATAAGATATTACATGTACACATGTGCACACAATTGAATTTTTGTCATTCTTCCCCTGTCCCGTCATCTGAATGCTAAGAGCAGATTGATAGATTTCAAAAGCCTTTGTAGGTATCTGTTGTCAAGCTACTGTCTTACAGTCTAGCCCTTGTGCCTGGTGTTACTGTGCTAGTTCTTATTTGCCACTCCAGACTCTTATTCTATGAATGCAGTCATTTGTTGTTACCATTTGTAATACCAAAACTGCAGAGAGAAATGGAATCGAATGGAGTGGCTGGAACCCTGAGCAGAACTCAGCACTTCAGTCTTTTTGGTCCTTTATAAAAATCTATTACTAATCAGCCTCATGCGCATTGCCATTATTTGTTACTTAGAAAACATAAGGGAATTGTGAGACAGTTGCTTACAAAGGATTTAAGTCTCCTGTAAACTTGCAAGAAACCTCAAATTCCTAGTGCTGTAGATATTTATACAGGTACCAAGCCATGGTATGGATAGTAGAACAATGTAGCTTGCCTTGAACAAGGAGCACTAACACCATGCAAGAGAACGAAAGCAACTGCATGATGTCCATGACAATAGTGTCTCATACCAAATGTAAACGAACTGTGAAAAAGGCACTATGAATAAAAAATGGAGAGGTTATTTGTACTTTTCCTTGTTTATATGTTTGTTTTGTAACACAAGGAAATCTTGAATAAAAACTTCTTTTTTACAAAAAAGAGGAGCAAGGGCACCATGTACTTGGCTGTGGTATAGTCAGCCCTTAATCATTTGAGACAAAAGCACAGAAAGACATGTTGGAAAATAGTGGTGGGGAATTTGTTAGTTTGTTTATATTCCCTCCTTTTTGCCTGATGGGGCTCCCCAGCCGGTTTTCAGATAAAAGCAAACCGAGGAAAGCTAAGTGCCATTCTTCTAGAATGTATTATTTATCAACATATTTTTCATTGACAAAAACTGGAAAATGAAGCGGTAATGCAATCTTTGCAGCTTAATAGTTGAAATGCAGGTTATTTAATGTGTGTCAGGATTTCATTGTATTCTCTGAAGAACAAGAAGGCTGTACAGGTGAATGACTTCTATCAGCTTCCTATGCTTTAAAGTTCTAGCCAGAGAATAATGGCAGCACCTGTACTTTGGAACTCCCTGCCACTTGAGATAAAGCAAGCGCCTTCACTGTACTCCTTTTGGCGCCTGCTAGAAACATTATTGTTTAAACAAGCTAACCAGATACTTAGAAAGCTGAGGTAACTTTAATCTGTTTTAACTTTGCATGTTTCAAAGTAATGGCTGTGAATTTTGCTCAACCTTCTTGTTTTATCTGTTTGTAAACCGCTTTGAGCTTGGTTTTTTTTTTTACAATCAAGTAGTGTGGAAATTTTAGGAATTATATAAATAAATATTCAGGTGAAGGTTACAAAGACTCAAGCTTGCAGCACTCCACAAGTACTGGAATTCCATTCCAAAACCAGGATCTGCCAGTTAGAAAGCATGCTGGGAAAACTAATTGCTTGCATTACCTTTACCTATTTAGCATCCCCTTGCTTTTATGAATAGGCAGGGTTAATTAAATAATCTGACGTGGAGGAAGTTACAATGATGCAGCCAGGGAATTAAGGTGACATACAACATTATTCCACCTCCCTCCCAAAAGATCATATCCTCCCAGCGACTCTGTGAGGTTGATAGGCCAAGAGATAAGTGTCTGGACCCAAGGTCATGTAGTGAGCTTCTTACCAGCGATGCATAGAGCAAAAGTACCTTAAGTTTCTTATTACATTGATTTTTCTGCTTCCAGGAAAAACTCGTATGGCTATCGAAAGAAGAGAGAAGACAAGTTTACGGTGAGTTTGTTATGGCTGCAAGTATCATGAATGACATAGTAATACATGAAATGATTGACATGATTGTATGATATAAAATACAGTCAGTAGTTCCTGAGGGTCGTGAGGTGAATACCAAGGCAGAGTTATTTTTTTTCATCAGGGTTACTGAAAAGCAGACTTTGCTAAAATGGTCCTCACCCAACCCGTCCACTATTTCTCCTCCCAGCCACAGACTAGTCTGCTTTCATTGGAAGGAGAAAATCTCCATATCAAAATGGATATTAGATCTGCTTCTTTGTGAAGTTAAGGTCATGCAAATCCTCCTTGATCCCCATTTCCCCCAACCCTTGTCTCCTCTTGGTTCCTTTTCCCCTCCCAATTCTTTCTCACCCCTATTCCAAGCCATTTTCCTCCTCTTTTGAGGTGGCATCTTATACACCGTGAGAGGTGTTTTGTGCATTGAGATGTGCCCCCCCTTTCTGTGTAGTTCCTCCCCCAATGACTGCATCTGGTTGATGACCAGCTTCCTTTAAAACATTCTCCACCTGTGCAATGGTAGAAACAGCCTTTTAAATGAAGTATGAGACTTGCAGGTTCTCCCGTTAAGTCTGCCATCATTTTCAATTTGCCTGTAGCAAACCAACTGGGGCCATGATCAAGCGAATTTGGTCTCTGTGAAAACATGTTTCCATGTGCATAGCTGACGTGTCCCTTTAGGTAAAGGGACCCCCAACCATTAGGTCCAGTCGTGGCCGACTCTGAGGTTGCGGCGCTCATCTCGCTTTATTGGCGGAGGGAGCCGGTGTACAGTTTCCGGGTCATGTGGCCAGCATGACTAAGCCGCTTCTGGCAAACCAGAGCAGTGCACAGAAACGCTGTTTACCTTCCCACCAGAGCGGTACCTATTTATCTACTTGCACTTTGACGTGCTTTCGAACTGCTAGGTTGGCAGGAGCAGGGACCGAGCAACGGGAGCTCACCCCGTCGCGGGGATTCGAACCGCTGACCTTCTGATTGGCAAGTCCTAGGCTCTGTGGTTTAACCCACAGCGCCACCCACATCCCTTGCACACCTCATATTTCACAAGTGCTTGAACATGAGTAGTTCACATGTGGTCATCTGAATCCTGGGCTGGGTCTATGTCTTCATGTATTTTAGTCCCTTAAAATGGTTTTTGAAACTATACAGATGGTTCACAAAGAACTCCTTTCATTTTTGTGGATAGAAATGATAATCTGTATGACTTAACTTTTGTTTGTTAAAGAAGTCTTTGGAGAATATTGGGACATAGATGCATATAGCAGTGTGGCAATAGTTTGTTTGTTATTTAAAAAAAACAAGTAGATGACTAATGTTAAGATGTCTTTAAAAGTTCATAGTCTTTCAGTGAAGCCTAACATTTCTTACCTGGCACTTTTTTCTCTCGCAGAGAGGACAAACGCAGTCTCCACCACCACCAAAGCCTCCATCCCCAAGTTTTGAATTGGGACTGTCCAGTTTCCCTCCATTGCCTGGAGCTGCTGGGAATCTAAAGACTGAAGACTTGTTTGAAAACAGACTATCAAATGTGATAGTAGGAGGAACATCGAAAGAAAGAGTGAGTATGCAGTTGAACTGGGCAGGGGATCTGCAAATGAGGGCATCCCCCCCCTAGCAATTGCCTTTTTTCTGCTTTGGGAAGCCTGCCTTGTGCTGTGAATCGATCTGCGATACTTGTGAAACATTTGTCAGAAAAGAGTTAATGCTAGGTTGCAAATTCATCTGAAGCGGGGCTGGCTTTTTAAATTGGATTTCAGTAAACTGATGTAGCTGAGTAACAGACAGATTTCTTAAACAAACCTACATCTGCTTGTGGAACTGGTCCAAAGAGGTTCGTATCAGTGGCCAGATGAACTTGGCAGTGACACAGAACCCTTAGTATCATAGATTACGAGTTGGAAGGGACCTGAGGGTCAGCTAGTCCACCTCCCTGCAATGCAGGAATCTCAACAAGTGGTCCCCCATCCAATTTGAAACCACACTGGACTCTGCTTAGCTTTGCAAATCTGCCAGCAGTTTTATTGCTGCAGGACCCTCTTATTGATGATCAAAGAAAATCTGGAAGGAAAAGGGTGCTGTTTCAAGATATGGTTGTCCTTTCCCAGATGCAAAGCTTATAACAACCATCTGTAAAGGTGCCACCTTCTACTTAATAAGATGAATAGTCAACCTTGCCTCAGTTTTAATACCCAAACAGACTTCTGAACGGTTTAGAAGCATAAAAGCCAACTACACAAATATACATCCAGAATTAAAATACAGTACTATCATCACTGACAAGGAGCTCTCCAGAGTGTTTGGTCAAAGGTTCTCTTGGACCTCTAGTGAGAGATGGCATCGAATGAACATGAGACCTTTTCACTTGTTGCAGAAATGACACCTGGCACAAAAAAGTAGCAGTGTGGGATTTTCCTGTTTGTGGTGCCAGCCAGTCATGCCCTCTTACAGCATGCTCTATTCCATAACACACACACCCCAGATATTTTGAAACCCCAAACCCTCCCCCCCCCCACTGTAAACTTTGGAGTTCCCTCAGTCTCTGCTCCCTCTTGTTCATTCTGCCTGCATAAGGATCCACACTCAGAGAATTGAATTTCTCTTAGTATACACGATGGCTTGTGCTGGTCTACTCATCTTTAGCCACTACCAAGCGCTGCAGTTTATTCGATACTCCTGCTTGGAATAAAAGGCTTGGGTGCAAGCAGCCCTGTGCAGAGTCCTGCCTGCTGAATAAAGCATTCTCACTAATCCCTTAAAACCACTGCTGAGGGTTATGGGTCATTGTGTGGTGTGGCACAGATGAAATCAGCATACAAAAGGCCAGCATACAACCAACTTGTTCTGCCAGCACAAGCATTTATGCTCATGCAACAGAACTTTCCTCCCTTCTTCCTCCTGCATGCACCTGCACCCTCTCCAAATCTGCGCTGGGATTGGAGGGTTGGGGGAAGGCCAGATTTAGAGGGCGTTTGTTCAAACAAGCAGTGTTCTGCATCCAAACCAAACAATTCCTAAACTTGTTTTGAGTTCTCTGGAGCTATTGCTCTAGGTCAGTGGTTCTCAAACTTCTTTCGCTGGGCCACACTTTCAGAATAAAAATTTGCTCACGCCACACCATTTTTTTATTGATAAGGAATACATTGGAAAACAAAAAGGAACCACTCCTAGCAATGCTTGATTTATAACAGAACACAGCTGCTTTATAATATGATCATGGGGCATCCAGAAAATATAAAACAATGCAGCGACATAAGAACATGAATCATTCCCACACACTTGATGCTCTTGCTCTCTTTTTGAAAAGATATCTATCGACACTCTGGAAATAAAAGTATTTTGATACGATACTATACTACACTGAAATGTTTAACTGTTTCTTGGGCTCTGTTGGAATCTTTTTTCCAAGTCTGCTTCTATAAAGGCTTTGAGTGTATGTTGCCTTGAGTTGAAATGCATTTGAAATGACGCAAAATTCGTTTTCTTCAGAACCTCAGCGCGACTACTAGTACAAACACTATTCCATCAGGAGTTCCTCGAGAGCCTTTGTTGCCAGTTTCTTCTCCTCTACCCGGGACGTTTGAACGGTCTCCTTCCCCATCCCAGCCTCCTGAGTAAGGACTTAATTATACATGGCTTTAAATATACTGCTCTGAATCAACAGTTTGCATTTTCCATCATCAAAAGGTTAGGTGTGACACTGTGTGAATAGCTCTTGAAAAATTCAGTTCAATAACACCCCATGTGTGACCCACAGCAGTAGTCTAGAATTTACTTTTAATCTTGCATGCTCAAACACTAACTTTAAGCCTGACTCTCAAAAAGGAGAAAAAGCATCATTTGCATGCATCCAAAGTGGGAGGAGCGAATGATCATTGGTTCCCTACAGCAAAAGACAGGAATAGAGGCTTCTGCATGTTGACTTTAGTGTGCTGAACGCAAAGTTGTTCATTACATTCACATCTTGCTTTGTACTACTTTGCAGTGACTCCAAAGTCATGGACAAGCAGCAGAGAGAGACCCCAAATATTGAAAGACTTTCTTCTGTACTCACTACCGCTTGCAAATCAGTACAAGTCAATGGGGCTGCTGTAGCAGTAAGTGCATTTGACATTCATTAAGGCATTCTCTGTTTAATTAGTACCTTCTGTCCTCAGCTATTAAATGATGGAGGAGTTATTTACTGCAATAAAAAAAATCAAGAAAATTCCAAATGACTTGGCTTCCTGAGAACAAAGAAGTTGAGGGGAGGTGGGGTAGAGAAAAGGAGAGCTAGAAATCTTCTCTGCTTTCCTGGTGCTACCTACTTTCTTGGCATTACTTGATGGCTCTCATGGCCACCAGGTGGTGAGAACTTCCATGATCAGTTGAAGTGCCCCAAAATATGCCATGTCCTCAGCAGCCACAATACTGCTTAGTGAGCTGCCTTTCTAATCATTGCGGACACACGTTTGTTGCACTACAGGTCTCACCTAATTTGTTTAAGACACTTATTCCTGTCCTGAGAAGTTGGGAGCTCCAAGGCTGCTGATGGGCAAAATTTTAAAATCATAATAAATGGCCAACGGCTTAAATGGAAATGAATAAAATTAAGAAAACATGAAACGGCAAAAGGAGAATGACACAATAAACTGAATCATGATGAAAAGAAAAATGCCCGTTCTTTATGCCAAATAGATAAATGGAACAGAATAATTGTTGCCAGATGTCTGAACATCCAGCATAAATGTTGGATTTGAAAGTTGTTGCATGCTAGGAATCAGGAATCCACAGTTTCTGTCTCGTGTCATCCATGCCTTTTCAGCTCTCCCGTGTGTCCTCCCCCACCTGCCCTGTTCTCCCAAGCAGTTGTCCCAAAGTCTGCATGTGCATCTCTACTATGTCAGTCTGCTTGCCCCTTATGCGTCAACCATTTGAGCTGTTCCAACTCCCGTTGAGACAAATGTGCTTTCCCAAGTTCTTAAACGGCAGCTCTTGTTGGTAAAATGAAAATTCTAAGCACAGCTTCCTTCCCAAATCTTGGAGTGTGACTGAGACACACTTTGGTAGCCACGCCGTTCCCCTTGATCGGTCTTACCTTTGCTGCCCCAAATAAATGTCGCTGTTGTGGTATAGCTCTGTCCTGTGCTTTTGATCACGCAGGAGTTGCGAAAACCTAGTTACGCAGAGATCTGTCAGAGGACAACCAAGGACCCGTCACCCGTGCAGCCCCCAAAAGAACAGAAGCCAAACACTGTCACCTGTGGGAAAGATGAAAGGAAACCCACAGAAACACTAGAGAGAAGCAAAGAACCCCCTCCTGTGAAGTCCAATCCAGGACAGCCCAAAGACCAGAGGAGACAGCCGTCAGGGCGCAAGTCCCCACCTCCAGCCGTTGGGAAACGTCTGATGAAAGAACAGAGCACCCCTCCCAAATCTCCTCAGTGAAACTAGTGCTTAGGAGGAGGTTTTAAAAGTTCTCACCATGAAGTAAACCCATGTTGCCACTCAGAGTACAAAGAATGAGTTGCTGGTTAGGAGCTTGCAGTGCGTATTATGTATGTGAAATGCCTGCAAGGTAATTATTTTTTGTTTCTTTGTAAATCAGATTGTTCCTCCAATTCTCTTGCTCTCCACCCCCCCCCCACCAAATTCCCCTTGAGCAAATGGTCTACTCTGTCAGGGTTTAATTAATCTAAACCTTACATTTAGGTTGGTGCTGAACTGGAGGTGATGCCTAAAATCCTTTTCTTTTCCCTAAAGGGAAGACGTATTCATCCGGGGGTGGGGGGGGGGGGAGATCAATTTTTTTTATTAAGCCTCCATGTGGCTGTGTGAATACAAGCTCTATCTAATGAGTTATTTTCCTAATCTATTAAGCAGAATAATGCTGCTGTAGTTTTTAAATAACTGGTCTGTAAGTACATATCTTTAAAAAAAAAAACTCCAGAAGACTAGTAACAGCAGCAAATATTTTGAGTGCAAAGAAAAGCAGGTGTTTTATAAGCAGTAAGACAAGTTTGATGTTCGGTTGTTTTTTTTCTTTTTTAAAATTTTGGCTGCTGTAGCACATCAAATAAATTACACTTTTAAGGTTTCAAAATACGTACAATTCTAATGTTTTAAATTTCAACCATTTTTCCCCCCTTGACGAAATGTGAACCTGATAAAGATCACCTTCTCTAAAAGGTTTTGTTTTGATGGACTTGCAAGCAAGTAACCAGCTTCTCAATCCAGAATAAAATGGTTTCTTGAATTTTCAGGAAAAGAGAAAACAAAGCACATTGTGAATAAACAATAATAATAATAATAATAAAGTACATAAGCCCTTGCAAAATGGCAGGTGCCTGCTAATGGCCGTTTTTCACAAGATAGCACAATAGCACTCTTGTGAGGATGATCTCAATTCCCCCCCCCCCCAAGCCGGAGTAAATTAATTTTGAGTCACTACTGTCCTTACTGGTTTACCCCTGTGCTCTGTGTAGGTTTTTAAATCTATACTCAAAGTGCTCTTTGAAAGAGTTCATATCTTAATCGGCCTAAGTGCTGACACCTTTCTATACCTGCATACATTGGCATATGGATTTAATTATTATTTTTCAGTCCATGGGATAATGGAGTTCTCTCTCTTTTTTTGCGTGTGCATGTATGGTAAAGGAAGAGGTCCCTGTTTCTGTCTGGAGTGAGCTTTGTCACACTTACTTACTTTTAGAAGTGGCATGCTTTCTGAAGGACAAGGATGCACTAAATTAATGAGTTTCTAATAAAGTTGACTATAAATTATTTTTGTTTTTAAATGCCTAAAGTTTTTCTTTGAGTGTTTAAGCAGCAGATGGTTCGGATGAAAATGTTTTCCTGCTGAATAGTTTATTCCACACAAAAAAGGAGGTTTATTTAAACAACTGATTTTTTAAAAGAATTATTTCCATCCAATATTTAAAGACTTGAATTTTATTTAAACTTGAAAATGACTTTGCCTTAACTTTTGTATAAGACAGCTTATAGTTACTGAAGTCTGACCCTCTCATGGGTTAGTGTGGGTGGCATATACAGAATTACTCAGTTACAGTATGTATGTATTGTCACTGGTCTTACTGGGTAAACACACTGTAGTACAGGAAGTAGCGGCAGTTTTTTGTAATATACCTTAAAAGATCTTAAGCAGTTGATCTTTTTCAAAATGTTGAAAATCTGTAAATGGAAATAGTCAATACTGTATTAAATATGTGCACTTGGAAGTGTGTGCTTTTGCTTGTACAGGTGTAAATAATCAGAACATATAAAAAGGTACCATTAAAAAACTGATAAAAATTATTGATATATTATAAATGTTGCTGTTGAGCTGGATGTAGATAAACTAAATGTTGTGGTTTGAATATTACTTTAATTTGTTTTTTCCTTGTTTCTTTTCCTTTATTCTGGTGTGCTGAGCTGATTCTGCCTCTTCGCTGCAAAAGGGAATTGGAGAAAGTCTGTCTTAAAAGCCCTGACATTTTAAAAACTCTCTGGAAAGTGTGTATTTTGACCAGTATGAAACATGGTTATGCAATGTAATTTTCAACTCTGACTTACAAGCTGCGATTATTATTTTTTTAAAAGAATCGGAATTGGAAAGAAATGACATTGCCACAATTACACAGCCCCAACGTTTACTCAACCACTCTTAAGGCCAAAATATTAGCAAGTACATATCTCGGGATTTGTTTCCTCATAAAACACGTAGGGCAGTTGAATTCTTGACATAGGTTGCTGCTATTTTAATTGTCCTCTTAAAAGAATAATAAAAAAAACAAACCAGCCTGCTTTTTGCACTGCAGAATTTAAAATAAGCAAGCTGGGATCTGTTTGTTCCTTCCTGAAAAGGCACACTTTGAGAATTCAAAATCAACAAACTGGGACTGTTGTTGGGTTTTAATGTTTATCCCTTACCCAATGAGCAGTGGGGAAACGGCAGCTAGATTGGGGTATGGTTTGGGCCAATGATAAGATTCCTTTGTTTGCCTGTTGAAAGCATGAAGGAAACAGCTGCAGATGAAGTGGGAAGTGGCTGCAACGAGTGTGTGGAGCTAATCATTACAGCCAGCTGAATATATGCAGACCAGCAGGTGGATTTTTACTGTTCTCATGCATTCGGCTGCCACTTGTGCTAGGATAATACACTGTAATTCTCACACCAATAACAGTCTGTGTAAAAGAGTTTAAAACTTTACTGCAATAGCTTTATAAACAATAAATAAATAAAAAGCAAAAAGTGTCATGCCAAATAACTTCTCCAATCACTTTAATACTTTCCCAGTCAGACTGTATGGGGCTGCTGGAACAGAAGTTCATATCCCACAGAGTGTTTTACATACAGCTATTGAGTTCTGCTAATTTTTATTTTATTTTGAAATTTTAAAACCTCCCCCGAAAGCTGAGATTCTGGTTAGAATGATCAGGCTGGGCCCATTACAATTGGACTCCTTCTCCACCCAACCACCAATCCTAATTAGTAGGATTCCTTTGGTGCTCGTGTATAAAGACAGCTTTTCCTGAGGCTGTCTGTTCAAGAAATGTATTTAAAGCTAGAGATTTTTGCTTCTGGAGGGGGGGGGGGAGAAATTACAATAATTTTCCACCCAGCTGCCCCACCTCAATTTTACATACTGTCACACAAAAAACAAAACTTGTCAGGCTCATTTATTTTTTATTTTTTTGCTTTTTATTTTTGATTTTTGCTGCCTCTTAGCTAAACACACATAACCAGTGGGCAACAGGATGCCCTTACTTGTGAGTGTGATGCAGTGTATCATGAACAACCACTGACTGTAGGGGTCTTCACCAGCCTCTGTATCCCTTTCAGCTTGCTGCAGCCCTTAGGTATTGTGTAGCCTGTTACACTGATAGCAGCAGACAATCGAAGACACACCTGGCGAGGGCAGCAGCTGCCAAGTCACAAAACAGGAGGTGTAAAATGGAGGCCTTTTTTTCCCCCCCTGAGGGTGTTTGTTTTTGTTCTTCTTCCATTTAAGACTGGAATCAAGCTTACATGTAAACTATTGGTAATTTAAGTTTCCTTTTGTGTCATAAAATGTACAACTGTCTAAAACTGTAGGTTATGAAAAAAATAAAGATTTAGGCACTGTTGAATTTCTCTTTTTTTAAATTAAACTTCTTACAACAGTATTTTTCCACTTCCTTTGTCTTTGCACCCACTCGTGTGTAGTTGTCGTCTTGCTGCTTCAGAGACACATGCCAGGAGTTCCTTTGCTGCAGCTGTAACGTTTCTGCGAGTTAATGCGCTTGCAGAGCACTAAATGCTACACCCAAAAAAACTGGACATCTTGCCCATTTGTGCAAGGAGTTTGCTGCTTCGTGTCTAAGCTTTTCGACCAAAAGTCCATTGCGGGTTCATATTTGGCAGATTGTGAGAGCAAAGTTTTGGGTGGTGGGTTTCTGTTTTGCTTTAAATAAAACCTTGTGTATGAATTTTGGATTGAAATGCGCTACGTGACTCTGATTTTCCACAAACCTCTCAAATATTGATCAGTAGCATTTTGCTTATGCCTCAGTTGTATTTGATGCCTCTCCAGTATGAATGGATTTTTCGGTGATACATGCTGCGGTTGAACTACACATAACTCTTCTAGAGCTGAGCGCCATCAGTTAATCCTAACCATGGGTGCTGCTCTAACCATCCATAAGCAAGATGTACACATTTTCTGGAGCACTTCTGAGCATTATTCTTATTTTCTGCCCTCCACCTTGGCAATGGGAAATCAAATGTACATCATGACCAGGTTAGTTCTCAAAGCGGTATTGCCAAATGGTCTGTAAAGGCTGCTTCATTTTCTTAATAGCGGCTACTGTGCCCAGAGGCAATTACAGCTAACCATTCTTCTTGGATCTCTGTCTCCTTGTTTTGTGAAGGAAGAGTTGTTATTTGCTCACTGAAACCTTCACGGCCGCCTTCTAGAAGGAATAAGGAAATCCATAACCTGCCTTTCTTCCCTTGTTCCTTATAGTAAAACACAAGGAGTGTTCGCCCAAGACAGTAAGCCACAAACCTTGATAAATCTTAACTTGCATTAGCTGTGTGCTTGTGCAGGCGACCTGTTTGAATAAGTACATAAACAAGCCAAGAAGAGGATAGCTAGCTCCCAAATCTGAACTCAGGATTGTTTCTAACAGGCCACAATTCCTAACCAATCTTAAACCCGGTGCTATTTTTCTAGAAAAGGGTGTCAGAACTCACCACGAGTGCCTCCCTTGTTCTCTTATGGCAATGGTGCCTGAACTGAGTTCCAGCTGGGGAAAAAAGCCCTGCTAAACCCAAGGGATTGTTGTTTGATGTTGAACCCTGGTTTGTCACAAAGAAACAAACCATTCTGTTGTGTAACAGATCCTCCAAGTGTCCCTCTTTTCCAGGGACATCCCTGATTTAGAGAAGCCATCCTAGTTTGTGATTTGATCCTGGAATGTCCCGCTTTTCCTTATAATGTCCCTATTTTCCTTGGAGAAATACTGCCGTCTGAAGGCAATCCTGTGTAGGGGAGGGTTTTTTAAAAAATGTTTAATGTTTTATTATGTTTTTATATATGTTAGAAGCTGCCCAGAGTGGCTGGGACAACCCAGTAAGATGTGTGGGGTATAAATAAGAAAATTATCATTATCGAATGGGATGTCCCTATTTTCATCAGAGAAATGTTAAAAGAGTGTATGGCATAATGCTGAAGTAAGTCTTACTGGTTTACTTCCCTGTTTGCACAAAGGAAGTGGTGAAGTAAAAGGGATTGAGTTGTGGCATTAGGATTTGTTAAGGGTATACTGTTTTGGCATGCATTTTTGTATTGTTCATTAAGTTACAAACTGCCCGGCTGGTCCCCCACTTCTGGTTAAATAGTGAGTGTGTGTTTGTGTGTGTGTGTTACTAGCACATCTACAAGCAATTTCCACTGCATTTGTGTATCACACAGATAATGCCAAGGTTGCTGGTCTGATCCCCTTATATGAGACAACTGTATATTCCTACATTGCAGGGGATTGGACTAGATGATCCTCAGACTCCCTTCCAACTCAACAATTCTATTATTCCTGCCCCAAGTGTCCCACTATAGTTGCCTTTTGTTGTAGCCCAACTCCATGTAACACAGGCCTGGCTTCCTCTTAAACGCATTGTTTTACTTATAAAGTTCATTGGATCTGCAGCTAGAAAGGGAGTCTGAAGCTCAGCAGCAGCCAGTAAGGCTGCTGCCTGATCTCTACATCAGTGTGTGAAATTAGTCTGTATCGAGGAAGTGGGTTCAGTATTAATGCTGTTATGCAAAGCTTCACCCAGTGTGTAGTCATGGTCTCTGTAAGCATCCCATTCATCACAGACTGCAAATCCAATGTATGATGTGCATGGAAAGGTTCTATTGCAGACACCATGAATGCAAAGGCTGATGCAATGAGTGAGCACTTGGCAGCTACAATGTTCAGCCCCTTTTGGCTCCCATGGAGCAAGTCCCCCTTGCCAATGGGACTCCCAGCTGAGGTCAGGAAGTGCAACAGCTACTCGTGGATATATTAAACCGAGTTGTGGGTGTTCTTCTGGGGAGCACCTGGCACTTCTGTGGGTGAACGACTTATTTTCATTTCCTTGTACCTGCACCAAACACCTTGGGCTTGTTTCTATAGCAGGGGTGGGGAACTTCAGACGGGGGGGCAGTGGCGAATGCAAGCCTTCAGACCTCTCTATCTGGCCCGTGGGGCTCTCCCCGCACACCCATTTACAAGCTGTGCCTTTCATGATCTCCGAGTCTCTGCCTGGCTAAAATAAGACCTTTAAATCTAATAATACCTTTTGCTTTCTTGGCTGGAGGACAGGAAGCGTGAGTGAGCAGAGACTAGCCCCCACTGCACAATGGTAATATTTACATCTTCCACCCCCTTTTGGCTCTGGTCCCGCCCACCACTTGTATGTGGCCCCCCAGAAGGAAATGTGGCCTTTGGAACAGGGAGAAGCCAAAAGGTGAACATATTGACATGAGCTAATGGCTGATGTCATTTATATTCTGATTGCTTTTGCTGTTAGCATGACACCTTGTTCGGTGTGTCATTCTGATGTCATCAGAAGCTACATGAGCATCTTTTTTTATTTATCGATAAGCGGTTAGCACATCATCATGTGCTGGCTTGACTACAAAGAGGAGTAGGTAGCCTCTTGGGGGCCATCTCAATTCAAGATGTGCTTACCTCACTAGAAGCAGTGCCCTGAGCACAGAGGCAGGTAGTGATGCGGTCAGTTTCCCAAGCAAATACTGTGAGATCCAGAATCTTGGTGCTTTTTGAGTAATTGCAGAGGGAGGAGTAGGTGGTGCATAGCCTGCGGATTCAGCTGCTCAGCCGAGCACTCTGTTTGCTTTAAACATTACTAAGCTGAGCAGGCATAAATGTAATGCCTTTGCAGTGTCATAAGATGCCATTTTAAATGCCCCCTGTGCTCAGAGCCACCATAAGCACATACGTTCTCCCCCCTGCAATAAATGGGAGGAAGGGCACCTGCAGCCATCACTGCCGCTGCAAATAGGACCTGAGGAAGGAGAGCAAACAAATATTGTGTGGCGTAGTATTTTGTTGGGGGCAGTATTTTTTATGGGGGTCGTAGGAGGTACTGGTGGGCACAATGTGTATCACATTAGTGAGCCCTAGTTTAAAACAGCCTCTCCACGTTCAGTACAAATGCACCTTTCCACACTAGGAGGAACTCTAAATACAGTGGTACCTCAGGTTAAGTACTTAATTCGTTCTGGAGGTCTGTTCTTAACCTGAAACTGTTCTTAACCTGAAGTACCACTTTAGCTAATGGAGCCTCCTGCTGCTGCCGCACCGCCGGAGCACAATTTCTGTTCTCATCCTGAAGCAAAGCTCTTAACCCGAGGTACTATTTCTGGGTTAGCGGAGTCTGTAACCTGAAGCGTATGTAACCTGAAGCATATGTAACCCAAGGTACCACTGTAACCAGTTTTGTCATCTGCTCACCTCTTCCCTCTCCTCCATCAGTTTTGCAAGCGTTTGATAAGTGTGTATGCATTTATTTCACACACACACACATCTTGCACTTTAAAAGATGCACCTGGACATTATCTACTGGTGAGCAGCCCGCTTGAAGCATGACAGGATGACAAGGCTGATGGATGTGTGCCTGTCTGAGGACCAAGTAGCAAAGCTGTGATCACAGCACAGTTGAAGAAACCGCTGCAAAAATGTAACGTCTCTGTCTTCACCCTTACTTTCTCTTCATCAGCGAACAGACGGTCACCAAGACAACCAAACGTGCTTGGTAGGATCTCAAGGTCAACGATTTGGGCATCAACAATGAAGTGTAAAAGCATCTTATTAGCTTTGCCACTTCTCAGAGATAAAACAGAATCCTAGATCCAGGAGTCTTAATCTGGTGCCTTCCGTTGGCATTTAGAAAAACAACACCTGACTTTTTCTGTAAGACTTTGTGCTCTGGTTCCTCTTAACCTTAAAGAGTGATCTGAAAACATCTTAGAGAAATGCCTGCTGTTGGCACCTAAGGGGTGCATGCATGGGTCTCCTGACACACGTGGTGGTCTCATGTGCCTTCACACCATACCCTTTGACCCAATCAGTTGTAGGTGGCACAGTGAGCTGCTGCCACTGCTGATTACAGGGCAGTACACCAGGGAGCAAGGGACGTGGGTGGCACTGTTCATTAAACCAGAGAGCCTAGGACTTGCTGATTAGAAGGTCAGCAGTTCAAATCCCCGCGACAGGGTGAGCTCCCGTTGCTCGGTCCCTGCTCCTGCCAACCTAGCAGTTCGAAAGCACGTCAAAGTGCAAGTAGATAAATAGATACCGCTCTGGTGGGAAGGTAAACGGCGTTTCCATGCGCTGCTCTGGTTCGCCAGAAGTGGCTTAGTCATGCTGGCCACATGACCCGGAAGCTGTACGCCGGCTCCCTCGGCCAGTAAAGTGAGATGAACGCCGCAACCTCAGAGTCGGTCACAACTGACTGGACCTAATGGTCAGGGGTCCCTTCTTTACAGCAGGGAACAAGGCTATAGAAAAGATTGGTGCAGTACAACTGCACCAAAGAAGCTCATCTGTTGCTCCTGTTGGTGCAAATGTGCCACAACAATCTCCCCCGTCACCTCCCAGTAAGCAGCAAGCATGCAAGGCAGCGGAAGTTGGTGAGTTGTGGTGCCCCATCACACTGATGCCCACTGCTGTCCATCTTCTACCAGTCCTTTAGCTGCACTGCCTCCTGAATGCTGTGTGCAAATCATAGCTGCGCCTTATCTCAGAAGGCCCCTCCTTTGTAAATAAGGCTGTAATTAATTATTGCAGGATATAAACCTCCAGCGCTTGTGTTCATGTCCATGTCAGGTTTGGTACTGAAACGTAGAACACACTTCCGTGTGCTACAGCATCGGAGCATTTATTTAGGTTGTGGGTTTAAAAATAACCAGTGGAAAGAAAACGCCGTCATGTATCCTCTACTCTGCTGTAAGTTTTAAATGATGCTGTTTTATTGTGTTTTTAATATTCTGTTGGGAGCCGCCCAGAGTGACTGGGGCAACCCAGTCCAATGGGTGGCATATAAATAATAAAAGTCCCCCTCCTTATGGGAGTTGCCCAGCCATGCCCTTATCTAGGATACTGTAGGTCGTAATAAAAGTTTTCATGTGTCCCACCAACCTTGGATCTGCCCCAATCTCTAATCCCACCCGCCTTACAATCTCACAACCCTGAGAAGA